TGCCCAACAAGACAAAAACGAAAGTGCAGAAATCAGAAAACAGTGAATACCCGGGATGGCTGTGGAAAGGCACTGAGAAAAGCTATTTAAATGGCATCTTGGCGTTACTTGTTAAGAGTAGTATTAATTTAAGAGTCCAGATAAACAATTTCCTGAATTTTTTTATGTTAAACGATTTTAGTAAATTTGCAACTTTATAAGATTCAGGTACTCATCAATATATTTGAGTTCAGAATTCCGATGGATTCATTACGAAATACAGCGTCCCTTTTTCACTGCAGACTTGTAATTACTTTTATAAAGGATTTCAAACCCCTATCACTATCTTTCGAAAATAAAATAAAATACGAAGATATTTATAAAATTTACTTTAAATATTTCTAAAGTCTAGGGCAAGTCTTAAAGCACCCGATTTTTTTCCCGTGAGCCATCAAAGTGGAAATGGAAGTGTAGTGGGTTTGGACTGTTTATTTTATCTGGTTTTCTGGCCATGGTCTGGATGAGGATGGTGCCCTGTTGCTTTCGCTGCGGGTTTGGATGCACGTCGGGAGTTTCGGCGGCATCGCACCGTTCCATGGTGCTCAACCACTTCTGTTTTCCTGGTGTAATTAAGCAAACGAAATATAATAATAATAAATTATAATTTTAGAAGGCGTGCCCCGGAACCCGAAAAGTGGCTAGAAAACTCGAAATTCCATAGATGGGGACACCACTTTGGGCCGTTTCTGTGGGAAGCGCGACATTTGTGTGTTTAAAATATAAACGAACAGGCTCTAAGAAATTGCGCTATAAAAATTTGAAATTATAATGTGAAAATGGAAAATGCGGGGTGTTCAGGAAGCAGAGTGGCGCTCTTTGTTATGTTAATTTTTACAGCCCGGCCACCCAATCGATGTTAGCAGAGGTACCCCCAAACCCTTACATAAAAGAAACCAATCGCAGCCAAACCTGAAACCCAATCCCCAGCTCCACGAGACCCCTTCTTAAGCTCCCGGTTCCAGTTTCCCAGCTTACCCAGGTTCCCCCAGCTGGGTTCCAAGGTTGTCGGCCAGACTTTTGCTATTTCTATGACAACTTGGTAGCTCTTGGGTAGCTTCTAATGATTTTCTATGCCCGCCGCTGTAAAGGAGTTGCCCCAGGAAAGTGGGGAAGCCCCATAACCATATATCTCACGCCTTGGGATCCACTTTTCGTTGCATATGGATGTGCCCTGTGTGGTTGAGCAATGTACGTTTTCGGTGGAGTTTGCGTCATGCGATGTTAATGGAACAGGCGATCAGAGGTCCCCAAGCGGGTGGCGTAACACGTAACGGCAAACGGCAAAAGCGGCGCAACGAAGCGAAGGAGACAGCGATATATAAAAGACAGCGAGCAGGGAAGGTCGTTTTTGCGGCTGTGTTGTTGTGTGAGAGAGTGGGGCCAATGTACTCGCGGTCAGTGCATTGCACCCTTCTCATTCCCAATTTTGTTTTCGATATACCCGCTCTTTGCCCGTTCATTGCTTAAAAAAAAACAAAGTCGAGATAAATACATTAATATACATAGATATATGACTACTTCTGGGATAATGTCGTTTTCACTCAAATAATATTATTGCATTTTTGGTGGATCCATAAAATATGATAAGCTAGCTTACATTTTAAAAAGTGCTCGATTACGATATTTATCACATTTTTAAAATTGAGTCAACGTTTTCTGCATCAATCTTTCTAAAAAAAAAACAATATTTGCTTACCAAATCTTTTAATTTGCGTATTTATTTATTTATTACCGCTATTAATTATTTAGGGCTAGAGGTTACTGCAAGAGGTTACTCTGTTGCCAAGTCAGCTCTGGTTTTTTAAGAACCGCCCTCTTGCCAATGCTCTTCTTTTTTTACCAGTTGCTTTGAGGCGCAATTACGCCAACGTCGTCGTATACATACGGTGTGCAATTTCTTCTATGTGCACGTAGTTGCACTTATCTGCCCCACAGCCCCGCCTTCTTGAACTACACAGAAAAATGTATATATCTTAAAAAAAATTACTTTGGTAACTTTGAATACAACTTTTCAATTTTTTTAAAGTTTCAAATATGAAATATTACATTACATTAAAAAAAAATAAAAAATCACATAAAATAATAGTACAATAGTAGTGGATAACAAAATATGGGCTAGGAACTTCTTCAAGGTCATTATAATAATTTTTAGTAGATTTTTGTTAGGTAGTTTTCGTTGTGAATATAAAAATGTTTAAATGGTAAACCAATTTTCTTATATTTGTTAGACATTTTGGAGCTGTTTATTTTTCTACCTTTTTTTCTATGTGCAGCGGCTCTCTGTGTATGTGGTCTATGGGTGTGAGAGCAAGAGAGTGTAAGAATCAGGAGGATGTAGGTGAGGGGCCGGAGGGGCAGCCTAGGGCTCCTATCGCCGCCCCCTTTGGCTTTTGTTGGCGGAAAACTGTGTGCCCCTGCGCTTGCACATTTGAAAAGTGCATCCGAGTGCATCTCCCGACGTTCAGCCATCTGCTAGCCGAAGAGCAAAATAAAATATAACGAAGCCTAGTCGGCGAGCCTAGATCCGAGTGCTTGGAAAAACTCTTTTGTTTTTGCGCTTTTCTGTTAGACAAATGCAACACCAACCATGTTGCAACCTGCAACCCACCTGTGTGTGCAACTCCAACTGGTTGCATCTATTCGAGCGCCTAGGAAAAATCCTGCCCATAGTTTTTCCCCAAAACGGAAAACCCCACTGAGCATAGACATCCTCACCTACCCGCGCTTTAGAAGTTGCCCCCTCTCCATGAAACTTGGGCTTTAAACTCAAATTGCGCTGTCGTTGCACCAATGAAAAATGGTTGAGAAAAAAAGTTTGAAAAAAAAACGTTGTATGATTTTTCTTCGTCAATATTTTGTAACAGAGGCGCAGCACCGATGCAAAAGCGGCTCCTCTGCTCAAAATGGAATGAAATGCTTGTGTAATGTAATAAAAATGCATGAAGACTGAGAGAGGGAGGGAGATGGCGAGACGTCAGCGCCAACGGATCCCCTTCGCCATCTCCCTCTCACACTGCAGTCAGTGCCCCAGTTCTACATTAGTGTGCGTATGGGTTGTTGCTTTTTTCAACGTGAGCAAACGATGCAGAGATAAACGGACTGAAAGAAAGAGCAACCGAGCGATGCATTTTTACGTTTGGCTGGCACAGTGAGATCAAATCAGATTTTATTGATGAACATTATATTTCTTATAAGTAATTTTGTTTTTCAAAGTTTTGTTATAGTTTTAACAAGTATATAAAGGTTAAACAAGTGCTGCCGCCCAAATTCCTTTGGATAGAACTTTAAGTTTAAGGCCGAACATCTTTAAAACATACATATTCGTTCATTGGTAAAAACCCATGTTAATACAAAATATTGTAGGAAATCACTCATAATTATGGTTCCTAAACTAGTTGTCAGCTTAAAGGAAATTTACTAGAAGGGAATCAAAATAATAAAACCCTTAAGGTATATATTCTCAAAAATTACGCATACGACTCGTGTCTTAGTTGAAAAGTGTTTTCGTATCAAAGCTTAATTTCAAGACTGGTTTTGTTTTGTTTTTCACACCTAACGGCAAGCCTGTTCCTTTTTAAATAGTTAATATACTCTACAAATTAAAAATTCTTAAGTCCAATTACCATATCAAAAGTTACACTTTTTGTTTTAATTACGTATACGACTTGATTACCCTGAATCACGAGTCTTATTTAAAACGAATTCTATTCACAAAATTGGGTATAGTTCAGTGAATTTTATAATAGCTTAGCAAAGTTTGTCCCACTGTGCAATTGCAAGGCAACTCTCTCATTCCAATCTCTTATTGCATGTGTAACTGCAGTTGAGTGGGACTGGGACGGCGATATGGGGAACCATGCGAAAAAAACAGGGGGAGAGGGGGGGCGGTCGGGACAAGTGCAAGTGCATCGGAATCGGATCGAAACTGCCTAAGTGCAGACTGCAAACTGTGCCCCCACTCGCCAAAACACGAAAACAGCCCAGAAGACGAAGGCGCACTCAGCGGCGTGCAGAAAACCGGAGAAGCATTCTCCACTCTCCGTTGCACAGGTATTGGTGCATATACAGTGGGTATAGTTAACATGTATCGGAGATTTGTGCAAAAATCTCAAAGCGAATCAGTGGGCGCACCTGCTCCGCCCCCTTTTTTCTCGTTCGTCTCTTTCGCTCGCTCTCGGGTGTTTTTTTTGCAAGTGCATCGCTAGGCTGCGAAATCTGGGCTCCTTTTCCCAATGTAACACAACCATGCACCATGCGAGCGAAGATTGCCCCTAGGGTCCATTACGACACATACGTACGCTGTTTTATTTTTACGGGATTTTGTAAGGGGGATTAAAAAAACAGTCAGGAGTGAGCCATTACAACTCCACCTTCTCCTGCGAGCGATAGCGATATTCCCCTACCCAATGCCAGCTCCAGCTTTTTTGTTGCTCTTTTTTTCTTCTTTGCGAGCTGCGTGCACAAAAGTAACAAAATGTACTGAATGCCGACAGGCTCCCAGTTTTGTGAAGAGCAACGATTTTACATTACGCTGTTCTCAGTACGGTACACGCGCTCATTGCGCGATGCCCCCACTCGCTCTCTCTCCCCCCACCGTAGTGTTATGTGTGTGTGAGTGCCAGTGTGTGTGCTATGCTTGCGCGCTTGTTCTCCCCATCTTGGAGCTCCTACCCACTCTCCCCCTTCCCCACGGATTATAATGATTTCACTCCACTCCCCTCTTTTGTTTTTTTTCCGGCTTTGGCGGGGTCTTTGCTCTCGTTTGCTTAATCATTCTTGTTTTTGTTGCTGTTATTGATGCGCTTTGGGAGAGCGGAGAAAAATAGCAAGTGCATTTTTGGTCTCCCATTCCAAATCACTTTGGAGACTTTAAAAAATTGTAAACGTAAATTTAAATTATTAAGTTCAAACTAATATTCATTTTAAAGTAGTTTTTATTATGGTGTTAATTTTGTTACATAATTTTACATCGAAAAATTATAAAGTTGTACATTTTAAGTAATATTTATAAAATCCTCTTCCGCCTTTTAGTGAGGATTGCGTTTAAAGCATTCTTTTGGTAGGAATCTGAAATTTAGATGTTTTCTATTATGCTGCACCCAGATTATACTACATATGATAAGTAATTTAAAACTAAAGTGTATTACCTATGGATCACTGGTGATATCAAATCCGAATCGAGAGTCTTGATGTCTGTGGGCTTGGTCACCAGAGAGACCAGAGCACCCACAACGACGACTGTGAGCACACCAATTGGATTTATCCAATGAAATGAAAGACGGTAGAGTGAGAACACTTTCTCTTCGTCTACCCAAACATGATCAGGAAGGGTTACATTGCCCAAACAACCTTCAACGGACACCGGCAGTCTTTGGGAATTTAGTTGTCCTGATGCCGCCGCAACTTGCGTCCCGTAAGTTATCCATCCGGTCAGGAGAAAACCGGTGATTCCGCCCACTGCTGTGCCCAATGTATTTGACCAGGGAACCAGCATTCCCAGGGTAAATAGGCCAAATAAGGAGCTAGTTGAGATGGCCACTAACGACGTGCAGATACTCAACAGGCCACTCACTTTCTCCAGAATAAATAGCAAAGCAAAAGCTATAAAGCCCATGACAATTATGCTTGACTTTACCAAAATCGTGGATGCCTTTTCACCTGGTTGCATCTTAAAACAACCACGGACTACGTCATTCAGGATCACCAGGGAAGTGGAGTTCAAGACCACAGAGAGGGAACTTAACCCGGCTCCAAAAATACCGGCTATAAATAGTCCGGGAATTCCATAGATATGACCGACAGTCTGAACCACGAAGAGAGGCACCAGCTGATCGTTATTCTGTTCAGACACAAAAAAAATTGAATATTTTAGTCATCAATAAAATGTTGAATACCCACCATGATTAGTCCTGCGCTCATCGGATCACAATCTTGATATGTATAATAGATGAGTACACCCAAAAAGCAAAGAGCCGAGTAAAAAATGACGGCTCCAACGACAAAAAATGCGATGGAAGCTCTGGCCATTTTTAGTGAGGGAAGGGACATATAGCGATGAACCATCGACTGGTGCACCGCATTAATTGAAGTCCAGTAGAAGGTGCCACCGATAAGGACACTCCAAACGGTGTTACGGACATAAGGCGAGGGATTTATATTGCCGAAAGTAAGTCGTCCTCCTTCCTCAAATGTTTTAAATAAATCATCTAGATCGTCTATGTAACAGGTCGCCAGTATGGCCACAACCAGTACGGAAATAAACATGATCACTACTTGCCAGATATCTGTATGGACCACCGCCTTAAGGCCGCCCTGCAAATAAGGATTTTAATTAATAATAAACATAATAAAAAAGACAATCAAAATATTTTACCAATAAGGTATATATAGCGCACACCACTATAATCACCACTTCTATTACATAAATATTAATCCCCGAAGCTGTGGTTAAAAAAACAAAAAAGAATTTAAGTTATGTCGAAGCCATTTAAATATTGTTTACCCTGATTCAGTGCTAGGGCCGGAACAAAGACGAGGAAAGGCATATACAATATCTGAAATGGGTTGTTGATTAATAAAAGTACAAAATTTTAAAAGGTTAAACTTACCACTTCAATTATGAACAATATAGAAGCTATGCTTCGAATATTAGAGTGAAAACGCAACTCCAAGTACTAGATATTACAGGAAACGTTAAAAAAAAGTATATATACTTTGTGGATGAGCCTACCTCGAACGATGAGCTTACTTGAAGAGCTGAAAACACAGGTAAATATATATATGATACAGCTAGTCCTTGGATACAAATTGCTACGACAATTAGACAATATTGAGTCCCAAAATAGTAAATCTCAGAAGGTGCGCCCAACATTGTAACGCCCGAAATAAAACTGAAAATATAATATGAAAAAGGAGTAAAAAAACGTGTAAATGTGCTAATCTTTTGATTTTATTAGCTCACCTAGCTATTAAACTCATTCCAACAGGGAAAACCTTTAGATTGCGTGATCCCATTAGATATTCGTTCATCTTCTTCGATCCGAAGTGCTGCTTAGTTGGTTCCGGTAAAACCACATTTGGCGGGGTGCTTTCCGCACTCTTCTTGCTCTTCCTATATTAGTAAAAAATTCAATCAAGTTTTACCGAAACAAATCCTAAAAGTTTGCTTTATTTGGCTTTTAAATTAGCGTTTTATTGGATAGAACTAAACTTTATCCATCCAGTTCTTACTTACTTTATCCATCCGAAATAGAGTCCTGTAGCGATGGATATTGTGGTCATACCTATAAACACAATATAGTCAGCAGTTCCGAATCTGTAGTTGTCCATATTGTGCGACCTCTTCTGAAATAATGTCGGTTAAAATTCTTCAATTGGCACATGGAGCTAAGAACTAGAGAGCTATTTATCTAAGAGACCTTATCTAGTGTAAGCACAGATAAAAAATTAGGGGGATTTTAACAACATAATTTCAATTTTATTAATAGTTAAAGTCATAATTATCAGTCTAGATACTTTATGAACCACAATGACATCAATAAAACATTTTAAAATATTAACAAATCCCTCTAATTGGCGTTATGTTAGAAATAAAAATTGAATAATCACAGTTAATAAGTTTGTGAATTAAGCGAGAGAGTACTTACCATTTCCATGGAGTGTTTGATTTGATTTGTTGGTTTAAATATAATTTGTTTTTTAGCGAGTAGGTTTGACAAAGCTTAAGCAATATTTCCGTAGTGATGGAATGAAGCTCATATCAAAACAAATAAAGAAATCTTTTCCTATTCGAAAAATGTTTTTTTATATGTAAGTCTTTTTTACACTGAAAAAGTATCAACACCATTACATGAAATTTATTTTTTTGTTCATATCTTTTCTTGAGAATTTTTTGTTTTAATATAATTAATCAATATTTATATAAATACTTGAGGTAAGAAAAAACGACAACATTACGACTAAGATATCTTTATATGAGCATTAATATTTTTCAGTGAACCATTTAATTTTGCTTTGAGTTTTATAAATAAATTTATATAGTCATGACGAGGTCGCGGAATCGAAAATGCTCATAAATCACTATAAAAAACGAGGAACACATTAGGGTGGGAAATATCACAACTATTACGCCAAAGGCCTCTCAAACTGTTAAAAGAACAACGATAAAAGAAATGATTTAATAACATTCGAGAACATTTATTTTTAATTTAAAACTTTTGTAGATTTTTTTTACATCTTATCTGTAAGGTTTTTCTTTATATTATGCTTGGAATGTTTTGATATGTAGTTTTAAATTCCATTCTTCAATTACATATAAATTTTAAAAGTATAGATATTAATTTAATGGAAATGTTTTGTCACGTCATTAAATTTTTTATATTTTTTAATACAGATCTATAATTTTTTCATCCGTATTCGAAAAGTTGATATGTGGCTTAATTTTAAAATCTGAAAATATTATTAAATGCTAAAAATCGTGGAAAGGTTGTTCTCCAATTCTTGTTTTAAAATTAACTTTGTAATGTTGATATGCTTACGATGTATTCTCCTTTCATTGTTTCCCTAAAATTGATATTTTTTAGGTTGTATGTTCTTAAAAGCTAACAAGTGCTCCATTGATATGTATCGTTTTCGATTTGTGGATCAACAAGTTGAATGCGTTAACTTAATTCCAAATAAGTGTAAAAAGATAACATCGCTAAAAAGCGGTCGTTTTCGGTTAGGAAATCGGACATCGGTCTCCTACTTTTTTGGGTGGCATCTTAACTACTTATCACAGTTTGAAAAGGGATATTTGACTTTAGTTTTACTGGGGCAACTAGAATTCCCCAGCTTTTGGGGGATTGACAGCTCCACAAGCTTCTTTAAAATTGGTGGCATTCAGTGGACTAAAGTAATCCTCGTGCAGGAAGCGAATGATGTTCTCAATGGGACACAGGTCGGCTTTGTTTCCTCTGGAATCCCTGGTGACCCTTAGGCTCTTCCCTCCCTCGCAAAAATCGATCTGTTGCGTCACATCTTTTCCATTGTAAACCACTCGAAAATAGAAGTCTGTATGCGCTTCACTCCGATAAACTTCGAATGCCAGTCTGGAGGCATAGGCTATAGTTTGACCTTGACTGGTAATGATTCCCAAGGCAGCTGTAAGATACTGCATGGTGCAATCATGCCCAGAATATAGCACTAACTTTGTCCTATCGCCGGAGATCATCTTGAGCATATAGCTGACTATGTGACGAATCATTCCATAGGATCGTAACAATCCGGATAGCTTATAGTACGAGTGGCCAGCTGAGCGTTGGGATAGCTCATCCGCAAATGACATTAGGGTGTCCACATGGGCGGGCTCTACGCAGCCCTCTTGAGATTCTTCTGCCTGAACCGAAGGATTTCCATTTTCCACCTCGGGGGAATCAGGTTCCAGCTGGTTTTGTCCCTCCTAGAAGTAAGAATGGGTAAAAGCTCTGAGTTCTTAAAAATGAGGTCATATATAATCACCTGCAAAGGATTGACAACCGTTTCATCCTGATCTATATTGATCACATCCACCACCTCTTGATTAGGGCTCTTTTTCAGTGGCTTAGGCGTAGGAACTGGCTTTTTCCTACGACATGGCAGAGGAGCATCATGGCACAGAACTGTCAGCAAGGCATCCACGACCTCGAGGGGATTACTAATGCCATTTGGCGTGTGTTGAATTAAGGTTCCTCCGATCCACTGCATCACTTCCAGGACATCGCCTCGTTTCAGGAGCTGCTTGTCGCCCATGGCCTCCAATCGCTTTCGGAGAAGAGCTGACTGGGGACAACTACATTCCCCGAAACAGAAAGCCATGCTGTGGGATTCCCGGACATTCAGGGCTAACCATTTGTCTGCCGGAAGCAAAGAGAACAACATGGCCAGCGCCGATTGAAATGTGCGACGATAGCGAGTGGTGAAGACCACCACTTCATCAGAATTAAGGAGCGTGTGAGGCGTCGTTTCCACTGAAACACGATTAGGATTCGGTTTTAGTAAGAGACCCAGAGGATGGGCATAAACCTGATGCATGATGTCGCCCACATGAAGAAGCTGCGAAATGCCCCTGGTGGGTAAAAATTGGGTGAAGAATTATTACCGGCATTAAATTTTGTGCCACCACTCACTTGTAGGTGAGCTGCCCCAGCGGACAACCACGCTCTGTGGCGGGGAGCAGGGGAAACCCATGAAAAGGTCCCACCTTGTTCCAGTACATGTGATTTGAGCCCGAAGCGGAGCTACTTGAATTGTACAAAAAGCTGCGATATCTAGAAAATTCACATAATTAATAACTACTGTTTAAAGGCTAATGCTAACGCTACTCACCTATTCACCAGGTTATCTGTGCCACCACTTACGCCGCAATTTATGCCAGCACTGCGGACATGGGAAATGGGACCTCGGTCACCGTGCCTGATGACCAAGAGCACTCCCTGAAGCTTCCAACCCTCCAAGATGCCGCCATCATCCAAACGCTGGAGCTGAGGCAGTGGAGCACACCGTTCCCTGTATTTGGCGAATCGCTGGGCAGTGGAGGATGCGAAGGACTCGCCGCCCAAGGAACTGACGGTGCCAGACGAGCTGGGTCCAAAAGCTGAGCCACCTCCTTGATTCGACTCAACATTGCCCACGTAGCGATACATTCCTGAAAATATAAATTGAATTGTATTAGACATTTTAAAAATAAAATCTTGATCCCTTAAATTATTAAAATTCTTTTACTAACAAAAAAGTGTTTTAATCAATATTTATTTAATATGTATGTACTTTAAGTATGCAATTAGATAAGAATTTAAATATTTGAAATTGTGAAGTTTTTTTTACTAACCCGCTATAAGAAGGAATATCCAGATGCTAAGCAGCATGTAGCAGTAGAAGGCGCGATGTTGGGTGGCCATTCGCATCAGTTCCTTGAGCAGCCTCATCCTGGCCAGAAAGTCCGGCTCTTACCTACTACCCCCGGACTCCACTGCTACTCCTCGGCATCAACTCGATGGGCGGCACTCTTGAAGGGTTTCTGCTATCGTTGTAATCCTGTTCAGCGCTGAATTATTCTGGCAATAGGTCCGCTTTACAGGGAACTGATTTTGACAGCTGGCTGAAGAAAAACCTGGTTTGCTTGGTTAAAGGAACGTGAGGAGGAGCTAATGGGGGCAGCTGTCAACCGTCTACGTGGAGAACGGCTAAATGTCAGGGCATGCGCACTGGAGGCTATAGCGTTATCAGCTGTTTGCACAGGGGTGCTGGACGAAAGGGGAGAATTAAAAGTCGCCTAGGTGAAAGTATAAATCGAAATATTTAAAGATGATTCATACGATTCTTTTTCAACCATGTTATATTACTTATAATGCCACCTTTAAGCTTTCGATAAGGAAATTATACTATTAAGTACTTTTAATAACTTAGAAAATTAACTATCAACTACAGAAATAGAAAGAAATCGTATTTTACCCAAAAGAACACAACATAAAATATTCCGAATAAGCTTAGCATCAAGCTCGAATGCATTCTTTAATAACAAATTCAGTGTTCCCAATACATTTGTGGCTTTGGCTCAAGGCGAAATAAATATGCGTAAACTGTAGGCTAACCAAAAAGGCGGGGCTTCGTCGCCTTTTCGGCCCTAGTAAAAATATTATGGGTTTATAAATGTATATTGTGGCTGATCAGAGATCTTGGTGGTATTTAAGTTATCGAGAATTAGATCCAGTCTAATTCTGGGCCGGAGTTAGAGCCAGAACGGTGAAGCGCACCTCGTTGGGATCACGGGCCATGAACTCCTTGCAGACCTTGGCCGCATCCTTCACGAAAGTTTCCTCCGATGTTGGTCCATGCTTAATTGGGAAGGACTTGCGACCATCTAGCTCATACAGAGTGCCCCCCTTATTGACCAGGGCGATAAAATGATGGATCACCGTCTCGTGCTCGGCGGCATTGGTCTGACCCTCTTGAGCCAGAGCCTGATGATCGGCTGTGAAGTCCTTGTCGGTCTCCAAAGCCTGGCCACGCTCCTCCGGCGACAGCGAGGCTGTCTTTTCTAGGAAGGCCTTTAGAACTCCATTGTCGATATCAACTCTGGAAAAACAAAGTTTGTAATTAAAAAAGTACTATTTGATTAAATAAAGAAAAGAGAGAAAATACTACTGAATTAAAATTTAGAATGGTACAAAAACCTGTGATTTAAAAAGTTTGAGCAATACATTTTACTTTTAATCAAATACAATTTAAGCATCAATAGTTTTATTAAAGTAAATTGTAAGCCGGAATTATTTTTTAACTTTAGAAAATTGATTAATGCATTATAGAAACCGAAAAACTTTAAATGGTTAACCTACTCTTTGTTGTTGGCCACGCTGTGGATCAAGGCCACGGTGCCGCATGCGTTGTGCGTAAATTGGCGCATATAGAACAGATCGGCGGGGTGTTCATCCTTTACCTCCTTGATGCGCTCGTGCTCCTCGGCACGATGTTTTTCATACTGGAAATGGAAGCCAGTTAGGATAGAAAACCTAAGGTACAGGATATTAAGCCAACCGATTCGCTGCATGGGAAAAGCAAAATGAACGCCTTTACGGGACGCGGAATCCATTCCAAAGTATCCTCATCCAATCCGATGACGTCATTTACCGACCAGGCTGGCGACACGCCCAATTTATGTATGTACTTGGTCAGCACCTGGGAATGGGGAAACATTAATGGCGTCTTTATACTTAAATTCCTAAGAAAGCCCACATCCTCGCCAATAGCAACAACAAAGCATTTGCAAAACTGCAACACCTGATATTCCGCTATAAATGGGTAACATTCTTACCTCGGGATTAGATTCAAGAGGCGTCAAGGTTGACATTTTTCTGAAATTTATATCTTAACTGCGATCTGAATGAAAATTCAAAGGAAAATGAACAAGTGGGGTTTGTCTAGACAATTACCGGCACTTTTTCGTCGAGCTTAATATATTCCCAAATGGAGTGTATACATTGGTAAGGCATGCACATATCGATTGATTCTGTGCGACTATATCGATATTTGATTTTGATCAGAAATTGTTTTTCTCAAAAGTTGTTTAGGTAATTACCTAATAATAACAGTTAAAAAAAAATTTAATGATTTAAATACCTATTGTATATCTTAACAAAGTTTTGGGGTTAATAAATGCAAAATATTTAAGTTTGTTTTGCCTGCGTACTAAAGTTTCTTCATGCTTGCTACATATTTTTGAATTTGAATTGGAAAATTAAACAAAACCTTTCCCACTATCGGTATTCAAATTTGTTAGTGCTGAAAAATGTTTTAATAATGTTAACATATGTTTAACATTTGTCACTATAAAAGGTGTGTCAACACTGACTGAAGTAAACAACAATTAATATTGTTCTAAAATGACCAAAGCAAATAAAACGCCACAAAAAACAAGTGAAGCCAATATAAATGCCTCGCTGACACCAATTCGATGTAAGTTACCTTGAAATATAAGAAAACATCAGTGTTTATATATATTCTAAACAGTTCTGGATAGCCCCCGCCTGCAATCTCCCACAAGTCACGATTCGAATTTGGCCAACTGCAAAACGAGGTTAGAGACTATTGTTAAACAACTTCAGGATAACTACACCAAATGGCAATTAGCCCAGCAGAGAGGCACCTCCATTTGCTTTTCCATCGAGGCGAAGAAAACAAAGTGCCTGGAAAAACCGCAGGACGACGCAAACACCACTTATCCGGATGATCTGATCCTGCCCTGCAACAAACTGGCCATTATAGCATCGATATTTGGAGATATAGCCAATAATTCAAAGGAAATTCTAAGACAACTCAGAGCTATATGTAAATTGCCAGGCGCTGCAGTGGACACGATATTCTACAGGTCCTGGAAGTTGTCACAATTCGTTGCTTTTTGCAAAGAACTATCCGAAAGATATGAGCAGGAAGTCTTAGTCAAAAAGGAAGTGGCAGGTAATAATGCCTAAAGATTGACAATGATAATAAAAATTACCCTTACTATAAAATACTTTTTTGAACAGAATTGTTCTTCTCTTACCTTATTCAATCATAATTTACTCAAACTACCAATACAAATTTATTCTGTCATAGAAAACATTGCCCATTCGACTGAAAGAAGCCAGCTGATTGCGTACACTACTTTGTGGGAGTTTCCCGAGTACGTGGATTCCTATGTGCACTTGGGTTTTCTTCTACTCGCGGAAGAAGTTAATTTAAAGCAATAAAAAACAAAACATTTTAAATTGTTAATACAACTTTTCTCTTTTGTTTAATGTTCGGCAGTAAAACTTCATACAGTTTGAGATTTTGTGAAAGCTTAACCAAAAAAATGTTAATTCTACCAACTCTGGGCGTAAATACTATAAGAAAATGGGAATGCAGCTATTAAATGCTTCGTTATGTTTTTGTTTTAAGTCTGAACAGAGATCCTTTCCAGTCGAGGAACACTGTGGAACTTAGTCCACCACCAAAACCAAGCGCATGAGAGTCCCACGGCCAATGTGGTGAAGTACACTAAAGATGCCAGGTTGAACTTTTTCTGTAAAAAACAATAAATTATTAAATATATTTGGGTCAATACTAATCTATATGCACATTCCTGACATTATTTGTAAATTAAATTTTATTCCTATTCATGACCAGCTAAAACTGGTGCACTTACTATAGGTCAAATAAAAGATTGTACTTTGGCTATTAAAATGTTATATTCACCTTCTTGTTGCTCTCCTTGTCCTGGATATCCTCCTGGCTTCTTTTTTTCTGGGCGTTGGCTTCGATTTTCCTGAGGTCCTTGGCTATTTCATCAGTGATAAGCTTTACGCTTTTAAGGGTTTCCAAGGCGAAACAGCTGGCATAGCGTTTATCGCCCACGACGACATCCTCCGGGGTGGAGACCTGCAGCTTGTAGTTAGTGACTGCCAAGGAGGCGCGCAAGGACATAAAGTGGCTCGCGGCGTTGCCAAGAATTTGATTGTTATAATTCTTGGCCTCCGACTGGTTCTTAAGGTACTCGTAGCTGGGATCCTGATTGGGCATCTTGTCAAACATCTCCAGGAGCTGCTTACGTTGTTTCTGAGAATTGAATCCAAAGAGCTCCAAATCCTCGTCGGTAAGAGATGCCAGATCTCTGTAGCTGATGTTCTCGGCAATCAGCTTGTCCACACAACTGCTGGCGTAATCTGTTTCCACTGTGGTCGAGGAAAGGAGTCCGCTAAGGATCTCCCGCTCGCGTCGAGTATCCTTTCGTGCCTTTTGGTGAACCCAAGGACGCCGTTCGTAGCCCAGAAAAGCCTCGTCTAACTCCTGCTGATGGGTGCGCGTGTGGAAGTCCTTCTTGGCGTCAAACTGGATGGTCGGAGGCATCTTAGCCATGGCTACTAAAGGCACATCCACTGCGGACATTGTGCAAGTTTGTGTTTCCTTAATCTCTGACACTAATTGCAATTAATAAACCATTTAAAACGAATTGCGCTTAGTTAAGACCTGCTTCTTCTATCGGCGTTTTACAGCACTGTTGGCAGATGCTTAGCAGAAAATGTTAGAGATTAACATATGTAATATTTTGAGTGTTTTATACATGTTTATAAAAATGTTCTATCAACTGAAACTGTAACATGTTTCAATGTAATCAAATATATTAAATAAATAAATAAAGATTAACTTCGTACAAACCACTCTGGCTATTACATTTTGTTAGATTTTTAAAATGTATCTTCGACTTCTTTGGTCATTCTGCCCAACAAGTTTGTACACAAAATGTTATTGTATGTTTTAAATGCTTAACATTTTTTTTTTAAGATATAACAAGTTTGTATATTGTAAATGACGAAGCTTCCTAAGTATCCTTTTTGTCCACAGATGGTCTGTAGACTGGAGCACTGGTGGTGGCAGCCTCCTGCAGTTTCTTCATAAACAAGGCCTTCCTCTGATCATTGGCTGAACTGGAACTCGAGGCTTTTATGCGTTCTATTTTATCGGCATTCGGTTCTGTTAGCAGCATTAGGCCATAGCCCATCCCACCAAAGCCAATCAGCCACAGAACAGACTTAAAATAAGGATTACTGAGCATTTTTGAATGGTTCCTAATCGCTTTTCTTCAAGCCGCTCCAATAGCTCGCATCCGTCTGTCGAATGGAAGAATCGCCTACGATTTCACCGATTTTATAGTAATAATCCAGTACAAAGGGATAGTTTTCGTGGATGTGTTGGCGGAACTCTGAATAAAGGATCATTATTTACTAATCAGATACTTATATAAATATCCTCTCACCTCGATTCGTGTTCATGCGATAATAAACACCGTAGCTGGCCGCAAAACAAACTGCCTCCAGTACAAACAATGTCTTGGCACTTCCCTTGATGAATTTCCAGATGGCGGGCTTGGGTGTTTTGGGTAGCATCATAAAACAGGAGTTACGAATTATTAAACACGTTTGCTTTCTAAAATAAAAAAACAAAATTTGCTTACGCAGGTTATCGAGAAGTAACAGTGTTGGGAAATGGATCAAAACAGCTGTTCAACCGGCTGCTTCTTCTTCTTGTACTGCTGTGTTTATCTCACGTTTTTGTTTTTGCAAACTGATAACGCGACGCAATTTAGTCTGTAGTGAAAATTCGTTTTTCATATCAATGGAAAATCGGCTACGATGAGCGGCAATATACACGGACTCAGCTGGTTTCCGCACTTCCCCGACAAATTTGTGTCGTGGGGCCAGGAAATCCATTTGCACGAGGTGCGCCGCAAGGATGATCACAGTCAGAAAAGTTAGTTATCCTCAAAGAGACTTGGGACTATTGAACTGAAGTATCCTCCATTTTCCAGGTCGCCTGCCTTACACATCCATATCCGTGAACTACCTCGCCAACGAATCGCGGTATCAATATGCCCGCTGCGTGGCCGCCTCTTATCACAGTGACCAACCCATAATTGCAGTAGGTCTGGCAGATGGCAAAATTGGTATATGCAACTTTCGGGATACCTATGATAGCAGCTGGGAGTACAGTACGTGCTCTGTGATCTCTAATCGGACCCCTATTTAATGGTGTATATGATTTCGTAGCCCCCCGCCAGCAGCGTATGTGCACCTGCCTTGCCTGGAACGAACTGGATGCCAATATCCTGGCCATTGGACACGATCGCCATCGAAACGACACCTGCATTACCATATGGGACATCGAACGAGGTGTTCCTAAGGAGACTGCGAACTTCTTTGGCGTCGGAGAGTCGGCCAACTCGATTTGCTGGGATCGCAACCATCGCACGGTCATAGCGGGCATGAGCCAAAAGATGATCAAACTGTTCGATCTGAGACGTGAGTCGGTTTATGGAATTGTTGAATAGAGAGTTATGCTCAGCCAGTATATAAAACTTAATAATCCGTATAATCCTCCCTATTAAGCGGAAAACGTAGAATTTTGGGACTCATACGGTCAAATAATGTTCTTATGGAACAAAATTACAAAAGACTTCACTATAATTAATATTTTCTATAAGAGATATTACAGCGACCATTAACTTAAGTTAAAGTTTATAAATGTAACTTTCTCGTATAATTTCTTCCACAGAAAGCAATGCTACCTGCCAGAGCATTCAAACAAAGACAGTCCAGGGACTCTCGGTTTCCCCAAATGGAAACTATCTATGCAGCTATGTGGACTCTGTAATTACGCTTTGGGATCCGCGGAACATCAAGAGTCCACTTAGGCAGATACAATCCTCGAAGAACCACCTGCAGATCGCCTGGTGTCCAACTAGGACAAGCTTACTCTCTTCTCTGCAAAGGGATTCCTCTTATATCACTCTCTACGACATTCGGAGTGTAGATAATGAGAATTCTGGAGAGATTTATCACGTGAAACGGCAGATTAGTCCTTTTACGTCTAGATATCAGCACAGTGGAAAGTTTGCCTTCGTTAATTGCCTGTCGTGGCATTCGAGAGATTTCGAGAGGGCTCTTCTTTTGGCGGATGCGGTTAATATCCTCGACTTCCGACTGCCAGCCACATTGCACACGGCTCACAGTAATCGCCGGAAGTTGCCGCTGCTGATGCAGCGGCCCCTTTACACACCCGCATCACCAACTTCCACCACGGCGGTCACGCCCAATCAGCAGCAGCCCACCAGCAGTTGCAGCACAAATAGTGGGAGTTCCCTGGACTTTAGCAGTCCCGGTGGTTCTCCGTTGAATGTGGACTTACTGGAACCGGAACTCTTTGAACTCGATCTGGTGGATGAGACACGGCAGCGAGCCTTGGAGGATTATGGCATTAGACCCGATAACAAACGATTTGCTGAGCTGCATTTGACACCTTATCTGCGAAATGTCTGGTCAACTCTAAACAATGTATACTGCGAAGACCGCTTAACAGGCTTGAAGGCCACTTTGGGAATAAATTTGGGACACACCTCGGAAGCCTTGATGGCCAGCTCCCGCATTGAATCTCAGGTGCTCCAATGGCCAGAGGGCATTAATAACTCTAATAAGCTGATTTGCTACAGGTAAGCCTTCAATTTATGTCATTAAACCCTATTGATCCTAAATCCCTTTTAGGAGCGAGCAGCGCGATCTGGCCCTTCAACTCTGCGGCTGGGCCTTTGAGCAGGAACTGGAACGCTTTATCGACCAGTTGTATGCCAACAAAGAGTACAGCCGGGCGGCCATGATCTGCGTATTCCACCTGAAGATTTTCCATGCCTGCAACATCCTTTCCTCGGCAGCGGACAACATGAGAGACCCTAGTATGTACAGGATCACAGTGATCGCCTTGTCCAGCTTCAATGCAGATCGCTGCAGCTCTACGTGGCGGAATCAGAGATCAAGCGCCAATATGCAAATACAGGATCCACATTTAAGGGCAGTTTTCTCCTTTTTAACCATGGAGAAGGATAATTTTGATGCAGTACTGAAGGAAGAGGGCGTTTCGCTCTCAGATCGTGTGGCCTTTGCATGCAAATATCTATCGGAGACCAAGCTGGCGGACTATGTGACGCAGCAGATCCAAGCGGCTATAGATGGCGGCGATCTGAATGGCTTGCTTCTCACTGGTGAGTCGCTGGACGGAATAAGCATACTACAGTCCTACATGGACACAAGCTTCGATGTTCAGGTGGGCACCTTTTCTAGAGAAACAGAAGAAAATATGTTTTGTAACAAAATGTATGGTTTTTCAGACGGTAGCTTTGGTGGCCATCAACTATTTCCGTCAGGAGCACTTTGCGGACAAGCGCATCCAGTACTGGATCGCCAGCTACCTGGATTATCTGAACAGCTGGGGTCTGTGGGAGAAACGGGCTGAACTGGACATCAAGATAGAAGGTATTCGCCCATCTTCGCGCAGTTCCCGCACGGTGTTTCTGTCCTGTAACTTCTGCGGCAAGTCCGTATCGAATGCCTTGTTGGACGAGCCACGTCCACGGGGCACCACTACCACAACCAATCGACTCTCCTCCTGCCCCAGCTGTCGAAAGCCCCTGCCGCGCTGCTCGCTCTGCCTGATGCACATGGGCACGATGGTGAACATGAGCAACGGCGAGACCCCGAGCACTACGCCTGAGGTGCCCGGCTGGCAGACAAAGCCCTTCTCAAAGTGGTTCTCTTGGTGTCAGACCTGTCGCCACGGCGGACACACCGAGCACATCATGCAGTGGTTCAAGTGAGTAAATTATAAAAAATTTTAGAATTTTAGTTTGAATCTTGATTTCTTTTGTCGTCCAACAGACAAAATTCTGAGTGCCCCGTGTCCTCGTGCAACTGCCGCTGCTTCGACATGGACGGCACCAAGCCAAATACGTTAAGAGACATTTCCTAGCTGGCCGGAGGACTCATTCATATCCCCCTACGCCCATGCCATATGCATTAAGTTGTTGAATTGTTCCAAACGCGCGCGCCTTAAACAAACTCAGAAGTGTTCATTGTACTTAGACAAGGGATGTGCCCGAAGCATTAGTGTGTATGACCTACCAGCTTTTAGCTGCTCAATTGCATTTTATACTTACATTCAAATAAACGACTATAATGATTTCGCTTTTTTTCTTAAAATACAGTTTTTGTTGTTTTATAATACCTATATTATTATATTATTATTTCATTACATCTGCTTTTATTTTGAACTAAAACCATTTTGAAGTACACAATGTAACAGATAAGAGCTGAGTAAAGCCAAATTGCTCTTGAATTTATATTTGATTATTTGTTTCTTCATGGCCGTTTTCATATCAGCTTTCTAGTACCGAGCACGGAATAGTTTCACTGCTAAGCTTATAGGCTCAACAGTTTGCCATTAGACATGGAGCGGAGATTAAGAACCATTACGTGGCTCGGATGTTTGTTCCTACTTGGAATATCAGCGGAGACTGTGATGGGGGAGAATAGAGTAATATTTTTGAATCAAAATGAAGTAATAATGGACCACATGCTGCGTATCATGGACGAGACAGCAAACCCATGCACGAATTTTAAAGAATATTCTAAAGGCAGTAACAATAATGGCTTCACAAACGAGTATTCTTTATCGGCGTATAACAATTTCAATCGTACGTTCCATGCTGTGTTTGAGCAACTTAAGAACCGAGCCTACGGATCAGGCAGACTGGAGGAAAACATTTTAAAGTTGTACAGCGCCTGTCAAGTTGGCCAAAAGCAAGAAAATAGGAACAACTATTTGAAGGTGGTTCGACCGGACATCAATCTCTCCTGGCCCCAAAATACGCCTCGAGGCAGTCAATGGCCGAAAGAGCGCTTCCAGTGGTAAGTGACGCTAGGCCGATTGCGCCGTTTTGGCATGGATAATGTTCTGCTAAAGACGAGCGTTCAACTTGATTTCGAGGATCACAGCAACTACACGGTGGTGATCGAAAAACCCACCTTTTTCGGTTACATGGGTTCCCAGAACTGGTTGCATGAACTGGGATTCACCAAAAGTAAAGCAAAGTTTTTAAATGAAGAAATTCGAAAACTTAGGAATAATTTAAGCAATCAGAATGAGGATAAGCCGTTAAAAAAGCGTTTAACCCTTCTGGAGTTAGAAAGTCAGTATGGAGTTTCCCTAAACAAATATCTCGAGGTCGTGTTCGATCGCAAGTTCCCTCCGAGTTTCAAGTTGCAGATTGATGATGTGAATTACTTAGTAAGACTCAATCAACTGATAAGCAACTCCGACCAAGAGGCTGTTGCCGTCCTCCTCATGGAACGCTTCACCGACTTTATGACTTTAATGGTTAACTCTGATAAACTCTACCACTGCGGACTGATTGTTAGAGATCTTATGGAGTTTGCCAGCAATCTGCTTTTTGAGGAACATATCCTGGGTGATAAGAAACTTGGGGAGTACCAATTCCAAGTAACAAAATTATTTGAAGCGCTACTCAAGCCTTTTAGAAAGGGGTTAGAGAGGAATCGCCTCAATTTACCAACTTCCCAGATATCAGACCACCTGAAGACTTTGAACGGAATCACTGTAAATGTGGGAAACATGCCAAAAAATGAAGATCACCGCCGCTTTGTGACATCTTACTACGAGGATCTCGACTTGGAAAGCGGTGATGAGTTAACCATCGTTAATTTAAAGATGCGGGTGTTTGAGACAAGTCGCGAGCTGGGGAAGTTAGGCAAACCAGTGTCGAATGATCCGATCCCTTTTAGGGGAGATGTCAAATTAGTTAATTTCAATACAATTGTCATTTCCTACCCCGCTTTGATCGAACCTTATTTTATGGCTCGTGGCCACGACGTATTCAAGGTAAATATAAGTTTTTAAATGGATTTTCACATTTTTGACAAAAATCTTCTTATGTTTCAGTTCAGCAAAGTTGCTCTTGATGTCTCTTACTTATTGATTATAGCTTTACTTACTGGCAATTGTCAGGACAAAACAAATTTGATAAAGACTTTGGATGATCATAATCTATTTGGCAACAGTCAATTTCCTTGCGACAAAGATTACATGGAATGGGATGTGGCACAGAAATATTTCCGAGTGGTCTTTAATCTGGTGCACGATGCTTACTTTTTACCGGGATCAGGATTCGACCAATCGCAACCCAACTTCTCCGATAAGTCTGTGGAACAGCTTTTCTTTCTGTTTTCGGCGCAGACCATCCCAAATAGCGATTTTCTGACCATGATGCCCACTTTCTCTAAGACCTTTAATTGTTCAAGTGTCTCGTAAAGTTTATATTGTTTTTAAACAAAAAAGGAAGCTTAGCTGTGATTTTTAAATCCCTACAGCTATAACAAAAACATAAGGTTCTATAAAAGTACTATAATGATGTATATGGCAGCTATATTATAAAATTTTTCAATTTTTGTAAAAGTTAAAGAATAAATTTGCAATCGTTAAAAATTACTATATCTCAGAGTATATGGATATATATTAGGAAACAATATAGTATAGTATATAGAAAATATCAAACGGAAGAACATGGCTTTTCTTATAATTCGTATACCATTTGTATGACTACATCTACTTTTATTTTGAACTAAAACCATTTTCAAGTATATAGTGAAACATAAAAGAGCTGAGTGATTTCAACATTTATGTTGAATTTATATTTGATTTGTTGTTTTGTTTCTTCATATCCGCTTTCATATCAGCTTTCTAGTAACGACTGCGGACTCAAAAGTTCCATTGCTAAGCTTATTGGCTCAACAGTTTGCCTTCAGACATGGAGCGGAGATCAAGAACAATTTCGTGGCTCGGATGTTTGTTCCTACTTGGAATATCAGCAGAGACTGAGAAGAGGCAGAATAAGGTAATGTTCTTCAATCAAAATGAACAAATAATGGACCACATTCTGCGTATCATGGACGAGACAGAAAATCCATGCACAAATTTTAAAGAATATTCTATCGGCAGGACTTATAATGTCTTCTTCAACAAGTATTATTTACCGGCGTATGAAAATTACTATCGTAAGTTCTATGCTGTGTTTGAGAAACTTAAGAACCGAGCCTACGAATCAGGCAGTCTGGAGGAGAAGGTCTTTAAGTTGTACAACGCCTGCCAAGCTGACCAAAAGAAGGAAAAGAAAAACAACTATTTGGAGGTGGTTCAGCCGGACATCAATCTCTCCTGGCCCCAAAATACGCCTCAAGGCAGTCAATGGCCGAAGGAGCGCTTCCAGTGGTTAGTGACGCTAGGCCGATTGCGCCGCTTTGGCATGGATGGTGTTTTACTAAAGACGAGCGTTCAAGTTGATTTCGAGGATCACAGCAACTACACGGTGGTGATCGAAAAACCCACCTTTTTCGGTTACATGGGTTCCCAGAACTGGTTGCATGAACTGGGATTCACCACGAGTAAAGCAACGTTTTTAGTTGAAGAAATTCATAAACTTAGGGATAGTCTAAACAATGAGAATGAGGATAAGCCGTTAAAAAAGCGTTTAACTCTTTTGGAATTAGAAAGTCAGTATGGAGTTTCCCTAAACAAATATCTCGAGGTCGTGTTCGATCGCAAGTTCCCACCGAGTTTCAAGTTGCAGATTAATGATGTGAACTACTTAGTGAGACTCAATCAACTGATAAGCAGCTCCGACCAAGAGGCTGTGGCCGTCCTCCTCATGGAACGCTTCACCGACTTTATGACTTCAAGCGGCGACTCTGATAAACCACTCCCTGACTACCACTGCGGGGAGATCGTTAGAGATCTTATGGAGTTTGCCAGCAATTTGATTTTTGAGGAACATATCCTGGGTGAGAAGAAACTTGGGGAGTACCAATTCCAAGCAACTAAATTATTTGAAGCGCTACTAAAGCCTTTTAGAAAGGGGTTAGAGAGGAATCGCCTCAATTTACCAACTTCCCAGATATCAGACCACCTGAAGACTTTGAACGGAATCACTGTAAATGTGGGAAACATGCCAAAAAATGAAGATCACCGCCGCTTTGTGACATCTTACTATGAGGATCTTGACTTGGAAAGCGATGACGACTTCGCCATCATTTATTTAAAGATGCGTGTGTTTAAGACAAGTCGCGAGCTGGGGAAATTAGGCAAACCAGTGTCGAATGATCCGAGCCCTTCAAATAACCTGGATTTGCTAAATTTCAACACAATTGTCATACCCTACTGCTATTTGGTCGAACCTCTTTTTATGACTCGTGGCCACGACGTATTCAAGGTAAATAACAGTTTTTAATGGATTTTCAAATTTGTTGACAAAAAACTTCTAATGTTTCAGTTCGGCCAAGTTGCTTTTATTGTCTCTTCCTCATTGATGAAAGCCTTATTTACTGGCAATTTCCAGGCCGAGACTAATTTGATAAAAACTTTGGATGATCATGATCTATTTGGCAACAGTCAATTGTCATCCAATTTAATGGAATGGGACGTGGCACTGAAATATTTCAGAGTGATCTTTAATCTCATGCATGAGGCTTACTTTTTACCGGGATCAGGGTTTGACCAATCACAACCCAACTTCACCGATAAGTCCGTGGAACAGCTTTTCTTTCTGTATTCGGCGCAGACCATCCCAGAGAGCGATTTTCTGACCATGATGCCCACTTTTGCCGAGACCTTTAATTGTTCAAGTGCCTCGTAAACTTTAAATCATTTATAAAAAAAAAATAAAGTAAGCTTCGGGAAGCAGTAGTTTGTAAATCCTTTTAGCTATAACAAAAACTTGATGTATTATGAAAGTACTATAAATCGATTGTCAAGGCTTAAAACAAGGAAATAATGTCAATTTTTGCAAAAAATTTTTCTATTATTCCTATGGTTTTAAAACTAAGGGACTAATTTGCTTAGCTTCATCGACTCGCCTGGTGATCGTGATTAAGAATATAGATACTTTAAACGGTCAGAAATGTAAAAAAATGTATTAACGTTAAAATGACAAATTTGAACGCAGATTATTGGAGAATTAAGGTTAGTAAAGTAACCTCAAATAACTAACATGAAAATGGGTCAAAAATTTGATCAACGTTAAATTGAAAATTTTGAATGCAGTTTTTTTGAGAATGGAATCACAAGTCTTTAGAGGTATCCCACTTTGGAGTCGGTTTAAATTTGGCAAAGTTATGGACTGTAGAAGTCGAGGTTTAAGTCACTCTTTTACAAGACATCGGAAAATTAAAAATAACTAACATGAAAATGGATCAAAAAGTTAATAAACGATAAAATTAAAACTTTGTAGGCAGATCTTTAGAGAATGAAAATCAATATCATAAAGCTGTTATAGAAGCGATGTCAAAATGCTGCCCAAAATCGACATAGATTGTGTTTAGTATTATAGGCATCGAAATTGAAATGTAGTCGTTTTGTAATAACAGCAAGGGTATATTAACTTCGGCTTCCCGAAGTTTTCTTCCTTTCTTGTTTTGTTTATAATTCGTATAGCTTTTATTTCATTACAAATGTTTTTGTTTTAACCTAAAACCATTTTGAAGTACATAGTGTAACAGATAGGAGCTGAGTGATTGACCTCTTTATTATCAGCTTTCTAGTACCGACAACTGATTCAAAAGTTTCATTGCTAAGCTTATAGGCTCAACAGTTTGCCGTCAGACATGGAGCGGAGATCAAGAACAATTTCGTGGCTCGGATGTTTGTTCCTACTTGGAATATCAGCAGAGACTGAGAAGAGGCAGAATAGGGCACTGTTCTTCAATCAAAATGAACAAATAATGGACCACATTCTGCGTATCATGGACGAGACAGCAAACCCATGCACGAATTTTAAAGAATATTCAACCGGCAGGACTTATCTTGCCTACTTCAACAATTATTCTGTACCGGCGTTTGACAATTTGAATCGTAAGTTCTATGCAGTGTTTGAGCAACTTAAGAACCGAGCCTACGAATCAGGCAGTCCAGAGGAGAAGGTCTTTAAGTTGTACAACGCTTGCCAAGCTGACCAAAAGAAGGAAAAGAAAAACAGCTATTTGGAGGTGGTTCAGCCGGACATCAATCTCTCCTGGCCCCAAAATACGCCTCAAGGCAGTCAATGGCCGAAGGAGCGCTTCCAGTGGTTAGTGACGCTAGGCCGATTGCGCCGTTTTGGCATGGATGATGATTTACTAAAGATGAGCGTTCAAGTGGATTCCGAGGATCACAGCAACTACACGGTGGTGATCAAAAAACCCAGATATTTGCATTACGAGGACTGGTTGCATGAAGTGGGATTCACCAAAAGTAAAGCAACGTTTTTGAATGAAGAAATTCGAAAACTTAGGGATAATCTAAACAATGAGAATGACGATAAGCCGTTAAAAAAGCGTTTAACTCTTCTGGAGTTAGAAAGTCAGCATGGAGTTTCCCTAAACAAATATCTCGAGGTCGTGTTCGATCGCAAGTTCCCTCCGAGTTTCAAGTTGCAGATTGATGATGTGAACTACTTAGTAAGACTCAATCAACTGATAAGCAGCTCCGACCAAGAGGCTGTGGCCGTCCTCCTCATGGAACGCTTCATCGACTTTATGACTTTAAGCGACCGCCTTGATGCACCCTACGATTGTGGAATAATGGTTAGAGATCGTATGGAGTTTGCCAGCAATTTGATTTTTGAGGAACATATCCTGGGTGAGAAGAAACTTGGGGAGTACCAATTCCAAGCAACCAAATTATTTGAAGCGCTACTAAAGCCTTTTAGAAGTGGGTTAGAGAGGAATCGCCTTAATTTACCAACTTCCCAGATATCAGACCACCTGAAGACTTTGAACGGAATCACTGTAAATGTGGGAAACATGCCAAAAAATGAAGATCACCGCCGCTTTGTGACATCTTACTATGAGGATCTTGACTTGGAAATCGATGACGACTTCGCCATCATTTATTTAAAGATGAGTGTGTTTAAGACAAGTCGCGAGCTGGGGAAATTAGGCAAACCAGTGTCGAATGATCCGAGCCCTTTGAGGAGCATCCAATTAGTCAATTTAGTTAATTTAAACACAATTGTCATACCCTACTACGTTTTGGTCGAACCTCTTTTTATGACTCGTGGCCACGACGTATTCAAGGTAAATAGCAGTTTTTAATTGGTTTCAAAATCTTTTGACAAAAATCTTTTTATGTTTCAGTTCAGCAGAGTTGCTTATGAGATCTCTTTCTTATTGATGAACGCCTTATATAGTGGCAATTCCCAGGCGAAAACAAATTTGATAAAGACTTTGGATGATTATGATCTATTTGGCAATACTCAATTTCCTTTCGACAAAGATTACATGGAATGGAATGTGGCACTGAAATATTATCGAGTGATCTTTAATTTGATACATGAGGCTTACTTTTTACCGGGATCAGGGTTTGACCAATCGCAACCCAACTTCACCGATAAGTCTGTGGAACAGCTTTTCTTTCTGTTTTCGGCGCAGACCAACTTTGTCAGCGAATGTTTGACCTTGATGCCCACATTCGCTGAGACCTTTAATTGTTCAAGTTCCTCGTAAGCTTTAAAAAATGTATTAACAAAAAATAAAGTAAACTTCGGGAAGCAGTAGTTTGTAAATCCTTGTAGCTATAACAAAAACTTAATTTTCTATGAAAGTACTATAAATCGATTTTTTGTCAAGGCTTAAAACAATGAATAAATAATAAATGAAATGTTTTTTTCGAAAAATGTTCAATTATTCCTATGATTTAAAAACAAATAGACATTGCTTCATCGACTCGCATTTCTGAATAAAATTTATTTCCGTTAAAATTACAAATTTAAATGCAGATTATTGCAGACTCAGTAACTTTGAGGTTAGAAAAGTTATAGTCTCTAGAAGTCCAATTGTGGGTCACCATTTTAGAAGTCTTCGGAAACTTAGAAATAACTAATATAAGAACAGGCTCAAAAATTGATCAACGTTAAAATTACCAATTTTAATGCAGATTAATGGGAACCTTTCATCGAATGTTAGACTAACTCATTCTGGTGGTCGATGGAACCTCTATCGCAGTACCCTTTTCTATCCTGAAGGAGCCCTTACCATCAGAGGTGATTATGTTTCTGAGTAACCAAGACAAATAATATTAAAAATAAATACTAAACAATTTTTTATAAGACATATTATTGTAAAACTACCATAATTAAATAAAAACCGTTACTATTTTACACTTTATACCACCTATCGAAAATAACATTTGTATGGTATATTTTCAAAGACTTATCGTTATGTTAAGTGAATTTTTCAGATCCGGTAACGGTCACACCGCCTCGCACGTTTTTATGCGGCATTATTATTTTTTGTTGCTTTCTGACGTAAATTCCAATTGTTAAAACCCAGAAAGCCGTGCTTCTAATCGTTAGGCTTAACTGAATGGTTAATTAGTGACAAGATAAACAATATAAATAGAAGCAAATATTGTGAATGGAAACAACCAAAGACAGCACCGATACAAAAAAGATATATAGTGGGTAAGTAAGGGGAGGTGGTGGAATTTGGGGGCTGGAAAATATAGCATGCGAGTGATACACTTTTACTATCAGTTGAGTTTCTACAATATGAGATACCTTCGTAAATCTATTTCGATATGCTATTCCTTGACCTTTTCAACTTTTAGTGTATTCTGTTTAATAACCGCCATCCCAAAAAAAAAAAAGAAAACTGGTTTTTCGTTAGGAACTTCCAAGTTTAAAGCCTGCAGCGAGTACAAATCTAAAATTCAAATATCTTCATATACATATATAAATGAGCTATAGCTCTACAAGTTTATGTATATTTTGTATCAAAGATCAAAGAATCTTTCTCCAAATGACTTTTGTGGATTATTAAATACCTTTAAGTGACGTCGCCTTTTCTTGTTGATCTGGCTTTATTTAGCCATCGAGACAATAAATATGTTCGCGAAAAAAGTGTTGAAACTTTGCCAAATTCTACGCATCTCAGACATTTTCACCGCGTGACCCCTTCGAAAAAGAAAACCTACAAATTGTTGGCATCGTTTTTTGAATGGCCAGGGAAATAGAGCATAGAGCGTAAAATAATCTGCAAACTAATATTGTTATTATTTAAGCTACTTGTTTTCATTCAAAAATCGGATATAAATCAAGTTGGAGAACCCAAGCACAACTTGAACGAAAAGAAACGGTTTATTATGTCACTCCACTAAATTTAGCACTCTGCGCACTACGCTCTTTTGGCTCTCTTTAAGCTTTCTACACGGGGAAAAATATAGCAGATATCAGCCATTTTATTAAATATTCCGAGTATTTAAACTAAAATCAAATATATATGAACAATAATATAATCTTAATTTTATTAGTGGTATCCGTGTTCAAAATGATTTTATTTACCTACAAAAATATTACCTCATTAAGTTAAATATGGACATACATATAAGAACAAAATCGTTTTATCTTAAAATTGATAAAACAAATCAAGTTATTTATACGATAAGTTTTACGATCTAAAAATAATACAGAATTGTTCAATTCATATGCCCATAAGTTAATGTCATGTAGTGTTAATGTTTTCTCTTCGTGTAAGCCTTTTTTTATTTTTCATCAGACATATGGCCGCTAGCTAATTTACGCGTTGTTTGCATTTCATTATTTGTCTTTATGCCAGTACCGCTGTTAATTACCAGTTCCTACAATTCACAATTTGCCATTTGCAAATCAACCGGCAAAAGTAAACAACAGAGAGATATGGAGAGAATAGATTGGAAAGAGCTAGCTCGTAAAACAGCTGGGGGGTCTCTCGTAATTGCTTGGCCGTCTGTTTCCAAAAGTTTTCCTCAGTTATACCCGAAATGTAGAAGCGAAATCAAGCTGCTCACGCGAGAATTTAACGTTTTTTTTTCTGCCCTATAAAATATTATTTACGATTTTTTCAACGAAAAACGAGACATGAAAATGTGAAATCCAAACAACGAATGGCTTTGAAATAAGACGCTTGAGCGATTTTAAGCGCATTTCCTACCCAACCAGAAGCCCAAGCTTGTTAAAATAATATTAAGCAAACATTGACAAAATTTCACGATCAAGGTCAGCGCCAAAAGCTAATATAATTCGGTTTAACTGTGTGTGTTTTTCGGTTGTTTACATATCATCAAAAATAATTGGGACTTTTATTTATCAGTTGAAGATAAAGTGGGTTCGGCTTGTGGAAATGCATTCAGGCACGGGTACCCAAAGTTCAAACCGGTATGATAACACCGATGAGCGCATAAACCCGTTTAACTTGTCCAAGAACCAGTGCAAATCTCGGAAATGTTGTGATTTATTGAGGCTCAACGAGAGGAATAGAATGTAGATATGTACACAAAAAATACTGGTTGATTAATGAGTTAGGGCTAAGAAATCAAGAAGCTGTTGTTTATTTAAATACAATATTAATATAATATAATACTAGGACTCAAAACTTTCTTATTTGTGCTATGCCTTGTTATGACTTGTATATCTATTTGACATGTTTGGTAATGCGATTCCCTTACGTTTACTGGGATAATTAAAAGTACACTCACTTCGCCTGCAATTTTATGGCTTTTGGCCTTTTCTCATCTTGACAAGTCATGAAATTTCCTTCAAAACATTAAATTTTTTATATGTTTCGGCATACAAATTTGCAGTTCTCAAATGGCGAATATCGGTCTGACAATGCATTAATCCGCTGTAAGTTTCTGAATCATGTGGCCAAGTGTCCGCAAATAACGTCACTTGTCTATTTATTTCGTGCACTGTTTACCTACAAAAATTAAATTATGAAGTCATTGTTGGATTGTGTGCCAAATTCCTGTTGTTGTTGCTGCTTGATCTCGCAGTCTTCGGTTATGTTTGGCGAATAATAGGATTATATAAGAAAGGGGGAGTGAACATCGATAGGGGTACACTTTTATTGATTCTATCAGACATTAATGTCGTCTGTACCAGTCGCCTTTAGGGCATCAAGTGGTCTTGAACTTGTTCTATTTTTGTTCTTCGAAGCACACGCAATGTCATTTACATATTAAAAAGACCTTGACAAAAGTCTTAATGCTTTTTATTTATTTTTAATTTTTTTATAGGGTAACATAGGATTTATTATTCCTTAAGCTACAATTATTTATGGAGTGTTAATGCTGATATTTATGATCTTAGCAACCTATTAATTACCTATGTTAATAAATTAATATTACATATTTCAAAACTAGCAAGATTAATTTTGAATTATATTCAAATATTTTATTATCATTTTAGTAATTTACATCTTATTTTATTTCAGTTTAAGGTAAACCAGCTGTACGTCCCCACCCACTTACAAACACATTTCGCCAAAATGTTACGTAACACGCCTTTCGGTGCCACGCCCACCTACAAATTACTGCTGGGATTTGGACTCTGCTCTCTTGGGGGCGCCATGCTGTATGCGTACTTCAAGACACGAAATGACGAGGACGAAGCGGACTCAAATGACAGGCAGCAGATTTCAGGACAGGCCGAGGAACCGAAGCCCCAAAAAGAAGTGTGCCTCAAAATCATCGTGGACAACGAACACGTGCCCCTTATAATGGGACGCGGTGGTTCTAATATCAAAATGATTGAAGAAAAGACGCAGGCAAAGATAAGATTACGGTAATTGGATTTGAATTTTATCGACCAAGGAATTCGTACGATTTCTCAAACTTTTTGTGTTTCTTATCTATATTAAAAAAACAAAAAAACAGGGACAAAGACAGTGGTCACAAATTCTGCGATATTAGCGGCGTTCCGGATGCCGTGAAAGCTGCTAGAGTCCTGCTAATCAAAGAGATCGAGCGGGCACCTATGGTTAAAGTGGAACTGCAAGTTCCTCAGAGACTGGCCAGTAAGTTGAATGGCCGTGGTGGCGAGCTAATCCAGGAGATCCGGAGCAGTTCGCTGGCCAAGCTGAACATTGATCCAAATGGCCGGAATGGCAAGGCCAAGATCACAATTGTGGGCAATCAGAAGCAGGTGAACATAGCCCGGAAAATGCTGGACGATCAGATAGAGGAGGATGAAGAACTACTGCGATCCATGGAGGAAGTGGAGCAGCGTCGCGAACCCCGTCGATCGCCCACCAACAGTATTGCATCCTCCAGCTTATACTCCTCGCAGACCTCCTTGAGTTCTCACACTCAACCGAGGGACAAGTTAATGGCCGCCAGGAGCGAAGGCAAGCCCATGGAGGTATACGTCTCAGCTGTGGCCTCACCCACAAAGTTCTGGGTGCAGCTGATCGGCCCGCAGTCCAAGAAACTGGACAACATGGTGCAGGAGATGACCAGCTATTATAGTAGTGCCGAAAACAGGGCAAAACATGTGCTTACTGCACCTTATGTGGGTCAGATTGTGGCCGCCGTCTTTAAATTTGATGAAAAGTGGTATCGTGCTGAGATCGTGGACATTATGCCGAACCAATACAATCCGAAAGAGCAGGTGATTGATCTGTATTTTGTGGACTATGGGGATAGCGAGTACATCTCTCCAGCGGATATTTGTGAGCTGCGTACTGATTTCCTAACGCTCAGGTTCGAGGTTTTGCAAATCAAATAATGTTATAGTTTAAATTACCCATTACATTTTTTTAGATTCCAAGCTGTTGAGTGCTTCTTGGCCAATGTTAAGTCCACCATTCAAACTGAACCCATAACTTGGCCGAAGTCCTCTATCGCAAAGTTCGAGGATCTGACAGAGGGTATGATTTAATAACAAGGCATAGGTATATTTAGGATTTAACCCTGACTTATTTTAGTGGCCCACTGGAGAAAGCTGATTGCTCGGGTGGTGACATACAAGGAGCGTCCAAAGGCCACAACTGCTGTGAATTCCGCCGCCAAGGAGGGAACCCCTTTGCCCGGAGTGGAACTATTTGATCCTGCCGATAACGCCGAACTGAATATTGCGGATTTTATGATTACCCAGGGATTTGCGTTGCCCCTGGACGATTCGTACCCAGTGCGATCGCGATCATCGACTCCCTCAAGTAACAGCGACTCGACAATTGAAGAGCTCTGCGTCAGCAATCCAGTGACTCCTCTCACGCCCCATTCGCCCATGTCGATGTCCATTGATGTGGACAGCATTACACAGGCGGAGGATGAACATCTCGCCCAGCAGCTGCAGCATATGCAGCACAAACTCAACGGAAACAATATAGAAACTATTAATCTGGATAAATTGACAGCGACAGACCTCGAAAATGGGAATAACAACAACGTGAGCACAAGAAATGGTAGCACGCATTAGGAATTCACATTGTTACTTGTTATTCTCGCCTAATTGTTAATAATACTATGGCTGGATGAGCAGCTCACTACTTGACGTGTACATAAAAGTATAGCTCATAAGGAACATATTATATAAGTTCAAAAGAAAATTGTTTAATTTATCGCCGTGACTGATCGACATATCCTAGATCCTAAAAGCTGACGATGGACCGGCACAGATCCTTAATTGTTAAAAGCAAGCTTTGCCATGTTACTTACTGTTAGCAAGAACAAAAAAACATTTGTACATCAACAAAAAATACACAAAGACCACACAAATTTTTAAAAAGAAATGCATTTTATAAGAACATTAAACTTATGTCTATTATAAGGGCCTGTCTCGGGTTTATATTTATTAAAGGTCTTCCCTTTTTCGAAATGCATTTTTTCCATACCATTATGTTTTAATTATTAAAATGTAAATATTTTTTTGTGATTCTGTTCCTGATTGTGCAGACAATTTACATATACGTAAAATGGTTTATTGATTGAAAGTATTTCTCTGCTTTTCAGAATTCAGATTATTATATAAATTTATTTTCTTAAAAAGAAACTTTTAAATTATAAGTTTGAAGCAATACCTTTCTTGAACACTATAAATTTAAGGCCACACAGGGCGCGATATTTTTGCGACTATTTGAAAAAAATATTTGTAGTTAATGATTGATTTCCGTTAAATACATTTATGTTAGAAATATAGCGAATTCAATTTTTTTTATTTTAACATTATTTTGGAATAATTTTTCAAAGGATTTAGTTTCAGATTCTGTATGAACCAAATAAGCATTAAATTTATTCTTTTGGTGTAGTTCAGCAAGCCTAATATATCATTAAAATACTGATTTATCTATTGATTAAAAAAAAGAAATGCAATTTAAACTTAATAAACAATTCAAAGCAGGAAAAACTGACGACTTCGAAGTGAATACATTAAAATGATTGAAAACCCGAATCAGGCCAGTCTTACAGTCTTTTTTTGGGGATTAACCTCCCGCTTAGATTAGGATATCGTTTGTGGTATTTATAGCTATGGGGGGCAGGTAAATAGCTCGAATCTGACTGCGCAGGCGTGCAACTTCCATATCATCACGTTCCATTTCCCGAATAAGTTGTGAAAACTGAACTAATCCCTCGCGGTTTCCCGGAAAACCATGACCCTTTATGACCTCCAATTGGAGCTGCATTACCAAGGGAAATACCTATATTGCAAACCATTAAAAATTATAAAATTTTGTTAGTTTATTAATAATTACGTGCTGCATCATAAGAATCATCTCTTTGCCAGCAGATGCCTTTGCTTCTGAGAGCTTCTTTGAGTTTTCCGGCTGATTGACACATCGTATAATGTCCATAAGTATTTGTTTTGCACTCTCATTGTTAAAATTAGTCAAATAAGACATTATAAACGTTTAAATGGCAGTGATTATGACCAATTTACCAAAATAATCAACAAATAGCAGTTTTTGTTTTGTCTTTTCGTTAGAGATGAGTCATGCCACGATACTGAAAGCGATAGTTGGTTAGATGATAAATATCGAGTGAGATTCATATAGAAGTCATTTAATTTAATAATAATAATAATTTTAAAATTGTAAGTTATCAAAATATCACAAATTTTAAATAAGTGCAGAAATATTATTATACTTATGGTTTAGTATAATTTAAACTTGAATATCTTAAAAATTAGATAAGTAATTGGAAAATGTTTCATGTTTTAAATAGTTTATACTATAAATGATTAATTGTTTATGTTATTCATAACAGTTATTTTATTTTTTCCACTATCATCGATAGGTGCTTAAATATCGATTGCCCATTTACGGTACTGCCCCGAACAGCTGTAACGTGCTTAAAAACAAAAACATAAAAATAAAATAGATTTAATTAGGCAACAACTATTTAAAGGTTATTAGAAAATACTCAATTTTTATTTTAATAATTTTAATTACTTACGAATTCATTTCGCCGTTTTTAACAGCATCTCCACATAATCGCGACGTTTTCCAACACCGAGTCTGGAAAAATGTCACGTCGAAACGTCGAAAGCAACGACAAAAGACACAAATAATAAAAAAAGCTTATTTTGCACAGGCATTCGTATATTTCAAGTAAATGCAAGGACATGCAATTGAATGTTTAGTACGCGCAACCAAATTGTGAGATAAATTGTCGAGTTTCCAACGCAACAACAACGAAACGCAGTTTTGGGCCATTGCATTTTTGCAAGAGAGTGTGAAAAGTGCGTGTGTGCAAAAAGAGAATACAAAATAAAGAGGGACGCAAAAGAGGCATCGAAAACAACAACACACAAAAACACAGAACACCCACACACACGATTTAGCGAACACCCGCACACCCAACTCACACCCATACAACTCCAACGTCGAGTCAGCAAATTGTGCCACACACACAAAACAGGGAAAGAGGAAGAAGAATAAAAAAAGAGCTGCTCTTTTACATCTCCAAAAACACCATATACGAAATCCCCCTTCTATACAAAACTCCGGAATGAATCGCTCCGACGGATTGGTTCGACGCTCCGTGAAACCCCGGGAAAATGGTGGGGCGGAGGGCGGTCTAAATGCAAATACACCGGATGACAATCAGGATGCAATGGATGGACTCAAGGACCAAGAGGACAACATCGACGATGGCGATTCGAAGGAAACCAGGCTCACGCTCATGGAGGAGGTTCTGCTGCTGGGACTCAAGGACAAGGAGGTGGGTGTGGATGTGTCCCTTATCTCTTATCTCTTTAGGATTCACTAATTAATAAGTTTCTTTCACAACAAAAAGTGCTTCTTTTTACCTGTTAAGTGACGTCTCTCCCTCTTTCGCAACCTTTTGTTTGGCCTTAAGTGCTTCGCGGTCCATCTTTAAACAGAGGCTTAACTACAAGGGGGGCTTAGAAAAGGGGTAATGTCAAAATTAATTCGAACATTTTAAATTTTTTTAGTAAGGTTTTAAGTTTGTTTAGTTTCCTAAACGAATAATACGCGATTGGCTTAGTTACTTTAACTATATCCGATAGTTTTTATTTCCATTGGATTTTATTTCCACTCCGAAACTCTTATTTTAAAGCTCTACCATTAGGAAAAGCCCTGGAGAAATTTGAAAACAAACTTGAATAATAATAAATCAATTATCTAGCTTAGGTATTCGGAGAATTTATTCGGAGTTTAATTTATTTCAAGATTTCTTTTCAAAAATCTTTAGTTTAATTTTACAGAGCACTTTTCCAACTCCTTTTCCAATTTATTGTAAACCCCCAAACTATGTTTTCGATTATAAGCCCACCCATGCATTACCAACTTCAGCTCACATTTTCCAGTTTGTTAAGCAATACACTTTAAAATCTCTTGACTAGACTGGTGACTAATGTGAGTGCCAACACAATTTTCCTACAAACTTTTGTTGCTACCATAAATAAAACTTGAGTCTTTTTTGACGGCCCTTATCAGACGTTTTTTCCAATCTTTATAAACTTAAAACTTGCTACTGTACACTCTTTGTATTAATTTAAATGTTGTATTACTCTCTGTAAATAACAAAATTCTATAACTGATTGAAAATATTTCCATAAAGGTAATATATGTACGTGCTCTTGCATTCTGTTGTAACCGCTGTGATTATAATTGCAATTGTTGTATTGCAAACTATTCAAAAACAAAGTTTAGCAATGAAAAAAATATTTATAAACTATTACCAATTAATTGCTTTAAACTGGTTATTAGACTTTCCTTGGAATTGTTGGCTACTAAATAGTTGTTAAAAAGATAGCACCAAATAATACTTCTTATATTAGATTATTTGTATTGTTGGCTTTAAGTTATCTCCGAAAACGATTGCTCTTTAAAAACTTTAAGCAAGCTAAGCCGTCTCAAAGCTGTGAGAGCATTCCATCAAACGAGTTTTCCAATAAGTGGTTAATTTGCATATGATTGTAATATTCATAAATCTGCGTATAATTTTGGGATGATGTCTGTAAAGGCAATCGTATCCAAACGTGCTCCATTATAGCGAACCGGCGAATTCCTATTTTCAACGTTAAATTCGCTTTTTGTATTTTGCTTGCCTCCGAGCTTTATCGCTCAATTGCTGTTCGCATATAGTGTGGTATATACGTAGTATGTTTGTCGGTGACACGACGTCTATTTGTTTTCATTACTTTGCCCGCAGTGAGTTTGCGTGCCCACCCCCAAAGGGGGAAAAAAGATGAAAACAGCGGGACGTGTGCTTGTTGCTCGCTTTTGTTTTACATTCTTCTTCGTTGTGCTCTTATCAGAAACATTTCATCCATTTGGTTAATTGTTTAAGGAAATACACTCACTCGCATATCTCTGCGTACACCCCAAAAAAATTTCAAAATCTAACTTTAAACCCTAGCTGATCGGCCATTTATGCATATATTCAACCCATTCTTTTTTTTAAACATAATTATAATTTATTGTCTTCATTGACGTATTTTTTTTTTAATTATTCAACAGTGTCTTATATTTTATTTTTAATTTTAAACTTAACACTACCAAAAAATGTACCCGCAAAAGTCTGCGTACACCTGTTTAAAACACAAATAATATTATTTTTAGTAACTGGTAGGGTATTCTTTTCTCTGCAAAACTTCCGTAAGGCGTCTCGGGATGGAATCCACTTTTTTTTTGTCTCATTTGCAGTAATTTTCCCCTACTCCTCGAGAATCACATTCTTGAGCATTTTTTTAGATGTTATCGTGTGTCTTCGGATTTTCCTCTCAAGAAGATCCCAAAAATGCTCATTTGGGCTTAGATCAGGACTTTGGGGAGGTGTTCGCAGCTGATTTATGACGTTATACAGCAGCCAAAGCTTGGTATTCTGCGCCGTATGCTTCGGGTCGTTGTCTTGTTGGAACCAACATTCACTTTCGAGCCCTAATTTTTCAGCACTTTCTTTTAAATTGTTTTTTAATATGTCAATATAGATTTTCTGATCCATTATTAACTCGATAAATACCAATTTTCCAACGCCACTTGCTGCCATACACCCCCACACCATTATTCCGCTTCCTTCTTGCTTTACTGTGCCAACCAAATTTTCTTAATTTGAGGCTTCTCCGCTTTTCCTCCATACCAAAACCTTTCCCTTGATTCCAAATATGGAGAATTTAGTTTCGTCGGGAAATATAATCTTATTCCAGAAGTCTTGGTGTTTGGAAATATACTCATTAGTAAAGGTTAGGCGCTTATGTCTATTGACTTCCGATATGAGAGGTTTTTTGCGGGCGACTCTGCTATGGTAGTCAGCCTTTTTTATGGTCCGGCGTACAGTATCTTCGGAAACTCTTTTGGAAAATCTATCCTCGACCTTCAGCTTTGCCTGGTGAGCTGTCGTCCTTGGGTTGAGCTGAATAGATTTGATAATATTCCTCTGCTCGCGGATTATAAGCAAAGGCGGACGGCCAGAACGAGCCTTTGGCAAGATACTTCCAGCCGAGTTGTAGTTATCTATCACTCTTTGGATGGATGAGTGGGTTCTACCAACTAAAGCAAAAATTTCTCTATAAGATTTTCCATCCAAAAAACCTTTTAATATAATTTTCCACTCCTCAACAGAAATTTCCTTGCCTTTTTGTTCCATGTTGCAATATGCTCGTTATTATAATGAAAAAGTTTCATTTTAACTGCGTAATGTCTATTTTTAGGCAATTTAAAGTAGATCGGCGATAACAAAATTAACGGAAATCGCACAATCCTGCATTCCTCGAAGTTGAAAACTGCTGTACGCAGACTTTTGCGCGTACACTTTTTCGTAGTGTTAGGTTTAAAATTAAAAATAAAATATAACCCCCTGTTGAATATTTCTAATATTTCTACGTCAATGAAGACAATAAACCATAGTTTTGTTTAAAAAAAGAATGAATAAAATACATGCATAAATGGCCGAACAATTAATGTTCAAAGTTAGATTTTGAAATTTTTTTGGGGTGTACGCAGAGATATGCGAGTGAGTGTACTACAGAAGTTCTCTTACTTTCCGCCTTGCATTCATCCGCTTTCCTTTTTTAGAAACTCTCTTATCAGCTAACCGTCATTCACTTTTGAAATTATACAATTTATTTGCTATTGCCGTACTACCCATTATGATCATTTTATTATCACTAAACGTCGCTGATAAGCAACATATTCTTTTATACAAATGATTCACTTATTAGATTCTTTTTTTTTTTTTTTTTTTTTAAATTACAGATATCTAATCTATCAATTGGTGATAATAATATAAATCATTTCAACATTATGTGACGTGCAATTTTTTTCTTTCGAATCTATATCCAAGTGATACATAATCTTTTAGAAACATTTTGTTATTAATGGTGCTGTTGACAATATTGTTATAATCGTAAGGTTTTAAAAACATTTCTCTAAGTCGTTCTATTTAACAATGAATTGTGCCGATGTTGATTTTATTACTAAGGCCTAAGCAAACTCAAGTGTTTAATGTTTTAACAGCTGAAGTTGCCGTCTGGAAGCCTAACGACCCTTATTTATTTTTTTTCAACTCTTGACAACAAATAAATATCCAAACCTCGAACCATGGGAATTTAACACTTTGTTATAGTTCTAAAAATAAAAATGTATGTCTTACTTAAACTAGAAAGAAAGCAAGCTTCGACCAGCCGAAGTTTATATACCCTTAAGGTTATTACAAAAAGCAAATATATAATACAAGGTAATGTTATGGTGTATGCTTAAAAACAACGAATACCCTCTGCAAGGATATAAAAATAGTTTTGCCTGACTTATTACTAAGTTTTAAAAAAATACTTTGGGGTTTGACACAGATAAAGATAAGTTATTATTCCCAATTTACATTTAACATTTAATTATATTTAGGGCTACACATCTTTCTGGAACGACTGCATATCAAGCGGTTTGCGCGGATGCATTTTAATAGAACTTGGATTGCGGGGACGCGTGATGATCGAGAAGTCTGGAATGAGGCGACGTGGCCTATGCACAAGGTATACAAACAAAGAAACGGAAAATGCACATCTCTGAGAAAGTTAGCGAATCAAAATTGTATTCTCTCTGCAGAAAATTAATTCTGAAATCGGATCAGCAGACGGGCGATGTTTTACTCGATGAGGCACTTAAACACATTAAAGAAACAGATCCCCCAGAGACGGTGCAGAGCTGGATTGAATATCTCAGTGGTATGTATTTGGTCGCCCGAGATTTTGTCAAAGATTTTTATCAATTACTGATTTCTGTAACAGGTGAAACTTGGAATCCGTTGAAATTGCGCTACCAGCTGAAAAATGTTCGGGAACGTCTGGCCAAGAACCTGGTGGAGAAGGGTGTGCTCACAACGGAAAAGCAAAATTTTCTACTTTTTGATATGACGACACATCCGCTGAACGATAATGTTGTAAAATGTCGCCTGGTTAAGAAAGTGCGTATTGAAGCCCTGGGGGATAAAGGAATTTTTATAACCAATTGAATATTTTTCTTTCTTTTCAGATTCAAGATTCTGTGCTCTCTAAGTGGGTGAACGATCCGCAGCGCATGGACAAGCGGATGCTGGCGCTAATCTTCCTGGCGCACGCCAGTGATGTGATTGAGAACGCCTTCGCGCCGCTGAATGATGATGACTACGAGGTGGCCATGAAGCGGGTGCGGGAGCTGTTGGATCTCGACTTCGAAACGGAGGCGGCCAAGCCGAATGCTAACGAGATCCTGTGGGCGGTGTTCATGGCGTTTACGAAATAGACGATCCTCTAATCCTCTCCGCTCCTCTTAATAGCACACACACACACTCCGAAACACACCCAAACCCATATCTGGAATACATTTTGCTGCTTTTGTTTTAGAAACTTTGCTGTAAGTGGAACCGATTCGGGCTGTAGGATTTTCTCAAATGGCAACCACCCCAAAAATCAGTTTCAATAGAATACTTTTTAAGCGAGTTGATGAAGCAGCCATAAAGCCTATATAAATACATATATGTTTAACCGAATTGCAATAGTATCAATCAATTTTCCATTGTTCTATTTTTTCCTATTCATTGAGTATCTTGATATGCAAATTATTTCCAACCATATTGTAAGTTGTGTTCCACGGCAAATAGATTTTAGTTAATGATTTCTTTTGCAAATTGAAAGTTATGGTGGAAAATTCGAAGCTGCAGCATTGTTTTTGTAATTATATATCTAACATTAATTGTAAGCGCCAACAACAAACTCTGATAAAGTCTTGGCAAGCTGCGTAAATGTATTTTGTCAAATATCTAACATATATTTTAATTCAACTATAAAATTGTGTGTTTATTTGTCACGTATATTCGAGCCCTTCCCATTTATTTGATTGCGCGACGAAAATTAGTTAAAAACTTTTCCCGAGCTCCGCAATTTTAACTTAGTTGGAACATAGTTTAAAACATAAGTAATGCAACCACCTACACGAATTCAGACAAATTCACATGGAGCGTCATTCAATCTAGGCAATGTTTTAATTTAAATTGTTATTGAATTTCGGGAACATTGAAGTTGAAAAACCTTTTCTAACTGCTAAAAGATAAATAAAGAACGACGAAAAGGGACAACAGAAAACAAAATTATGTAAATGTAAAATGTGCACGTCAAATAATAATAATTCTTAGATATTTAAAGGCCTAATAAAATATAATACAAGTATAAATATATAAATGACGCTTGTATATTTTATGGAATTTCGGGTTATCCTTAAAAAAATATTTAAAAAAATGTTTGACCACCGGGGAAAGGGGTCGAAAGTATTATTATTATACTAAAGATTAACTGGCTAAAATTATGCAACTTTTGATGAAACTCCCATCAATATAAAACAAATTTTTTTTTTTCGTTTTTTATTTAAGAGTTTTTATTCCGTTTTTCGTTCTCAATAAATTTTTGTTTTTCCCGTTTGCACAGTTTTGGTTCTCCATTCAATAGTAGAAGAGGGCAATATACCATATAAGTCGAATAATTCTCACACGAAACATTTAGGTTATAATATAATAATCTTTCAATGACATAAAGTATGATAAAAAGCAGGGCGCAGCGCACATGTTATTGCAAAAATACACTAAAATTAACATCATTTAGGCCAAAAAGGAAGTAAACAAAGTAGTGCTCTTATGCTATCCATCATAATCATCTAGTAGTTTTCAACTGTGGGAAATTTGCAAGTAATTTGTAACAACAGTTAAAAATATTAATGGAATTGATAAGAGAATAATTTTCTAAGTAATTTTGCAGTTGCCTCGTTTAACAAATGTTTAATTTTTAGCAGTGTTCAAAAAATACATACAAATATATATAAAGTAAAACAATGCAAAAATGTGAAAACTTTAATAAAATTAATGGAAGAATTGATACGTTCGAAATGATAGCAATTAATTAATATATATGTATATGTATTTTTATGTAAATATAATTGAAGTTTCTCCAGCTGTCAGTTCCAGTTCTTGCTCCTGATCCAGATCCTTCTGCTCCTTTTATTTGCCGAGGCGACTGCGCATGGACGACAGGCGACGCATCCGAGCCCTGTTTTGGGAATAGCTGTTCGCCCACCGCTGCTCGGGTTTGTACGTGCCGGAGTAGCCGGCATGCTAACTTAGCAAATCCTTGATCTCCTTGTGCATGTGACATAGGAAATCTACGTAGCTGGCCGAGCCGTCTGTGCCGCGATCCTCGACGAGGAAGTGCCGGAACACGCTCTCCAGCTTGTCGTTTTGCCGTAACCAGGTGATCTAAAGTGAAGATTAATGTGTTACAAATTGCCTAAAAATAAAAACGAAATAAAATACGGACCCTCATGTATCGCGATCGCTCCTTCATAATCTGCTCCAGAATGCCGTTAATGCGCTTGGCCAGCGGCGTTTCCGGCACGATATTGAACCGCTCCAAAGCAAGCTGTTGCAGTCCCTGGACGCCAAAGACAGACTGCACAAAGTTCGGGGACAGAGACTGGCCCAGCCAGACGAATAGGTGCACTCCGTTCTCCAGGATGTAAGCGCCGTCTTCTTGCGTCTTTTCGTGCGTGCAGCGAATGGGAGTCGGCAGATCCGTCTCCTCGGGCACGACGTTGTGGATGGGGATGAAACGGGGATACAGATAGCTGGCGGATTGATTTAGATCCATAGACAGGATAAACTGAATAACATAAGATCGGTCGTCCAGCGTCATGTCCGATCCACCGGAAATAGCATCGTTTTTGAGCAAACACGAGGCGTACAGTGGCAACAGTTTCAGGCACTCGGGAAGGATAAGCTGGCCGGCGGAGGTGGGCGAGGTGCAGTGCTTGCGGTAGCAGGCGAGGATCTGAGCCGATCGATGAATAAGGTTATCCTTCACCTGCTTGGGAGAGTGCTCCATCAGCTTAAAGCAGGCCTGCTTGGCGAAAAACAGCATCATAGCGTCCAAGTCGCAGCTCTTGAACACGTCAGCAATCGTCGTGGTAACCCGCAATGCCAGGTTCAGGACACGCAGACGTCGCTGCCCACTGCACGAGGTGTACAGCAGTGCCACCTGGAGGTACACGTTCTCCTCTGGCGCCAGCTTGTCGTCGTGCTTGATCTCAATGCTCACCGACTTGGTGGCGTCTATAAAAAAAACGAAATAAAATTATTTTGAAACAAATTTAGTTCAGAGCCATGATTACGAACCAATACTAGCCAGCTCCACATCCGTTGTATTGGACATAAAGAAGTGGCCGAAAAACTCCGTGGGTCGAATGCCTGCAGATGTGCGCACTCGCATCACTGCATCGAAGGCAATCGGCCTTGATACGTTTTTAATGATATCCTCGATCAGTCGCTTGCCATCCACGTCCGCCTGGAAGTACGTGTACTTGAACACCTCGCCACCGGTCAACCGAGGAACCTGTCCAATCGTGGCCAAGTCAATGTAAGCGTTGTTGAACACGAACAAATCCACTGAGCAGCCCTGCTGGACGCACTCTTGACCCAATTGGTTATAAGCAGTAGTTTGCGGGGTGAGTACGGTTTTCTCCTTATCCGTGCCCAGAAGTTTTCGGTCGTCGCGGTTCTTCAGTTTGCCAGGTGCTTCAGCAATGGGGAGCGTGGAGTTGAACACCAGCAGCTTTCCAGATGCATTGGAAGCCTTGAGAGCTTCCAAACCGGCTTGAATCGCTGGGTACAGAATCGTCTCTGTTTCCTTAGTATCCGCAAACATACGAGGAATCTCTTCCATCAGAGCATCGATTACAGCTGCAGACTCCTCTGGATGACACAGGAATCCATCGAGCAGGGGCATGAACATCTCCTGAACATCACCCACCACCATCATTTGGGGTTGGGCCAGACTACTTTTGATGTTGTAGAAATGCACGGTGCTGTTGTATGTAATGAAACCCACTCGCACCTTGGATTTATCTTGACCCTGGTCCACAGGCAAATGCTTGAGTATGTTCTTGATCTGGGAGCATAGTAGATGAACCAGACCCGACTTCACTGTGTTGTATGAGACGTCGATAATGAAGATAAAGGCGGGAACTTCCGGGGGAGTGTTGTTCTATGATTAAAAAAGAAAAAAATGGGTTTACAATTATAAGGTAATTCTAAACAGATTTTCTAACAATTAAAAATAAAAAAAAATCTGACATGCCGAAAATAAACATAGCATAAACAAGAATGAATGCCATATGTTGATCATATTTTTGAGGAAAACTATTTTTAAAAACAACAAATATTTTTTTATGGAATGACTTTCCAGTATTTTACATATTTGAATTTAACAACGTTTCATACCAATATTAAACTGATAAGCTTACCCGACAGTAATCCTTGGTGGCCAGGAACTCGTAGGTGCCCAGCAGCAACTCAGGTCGTTCGTGCTTGTCTACTCGCTGTCCAGTGTGATCCAGATGCTGGTAGTAGTCCGGATGAACTGAAAGAAAAATTAAAATTGTTTCCCTTTCCATCGCTTCTGTCATAAGCACTCACCCTCCGAGGTCACCTTGCACATCAGGCACTGGAATCGCCGGCCAGCATCCACAAACTGCATGTTGGGCGACATGTACGCCTTACATCTGTTACAACGGATCGGTCCCATGTCGCCGAAGTTCACAATCGGTGGCTCCATTTCCCCTTCAGCAATCCTGGCTAACGGAGAGATGTTCAGCGTCAAGGGCAGAGCAGTGGTCTTGAGAAGATCTCCGGTATTGGGTATGCAATAGAGCGATGAGCGCAGGAAGCGCGGCGAAGAGTTGCCTTGGTCGTGAGCCACGAATTTGGTGGTCACCAATGGAGGCAGCAAGCCCGGCTGATTGGTTACAAACGGCCCGCCAGCTAGACGTTGGTTCTCGACCATCACCTGGATGGGATTAGGCATCTGGTCGGGATCCAGGCGACGTGGCTGCGGTGCCTGCTGGTACATGTTTCCTGCCCCCGGCATTGGAGGTTGCTAAAAGAAGAAGTCAGAAGTCAGTTAAAAATATTTATCTAACCAAATGCTACTATACTTACATTAAAGCCAGGACGTCCTGGCTGGCCTGGAAAGCCGCCACCTGGCTGCGGTGGATATCCTGGGGCTCCTGCCTGTTGTCCTGGCTGTGGTGGATATCCTGGCATGGGCTGCTGTCCCGGCTGCAAAGGATAACCCGGCTGCTGACCTGGATAGCCCGGTTGCGGGGCACCGAATTGTGGCTGAGCTGCTGGCTGCTGCCCAGGGTGTATTGGTGGTGCTCCAGGGAAGCCTCCGGGAGCCTGTCCTGGGAAGCCACCTGGATAGCCGCCTGGTTGGGGTGCTCCATAAGCTCCTGCCTGCGGTGGCAAGCCCGGCTGCGTTTGCGGTGGCAAGCCAGGCTGCTGTGGGGGAAATCCCGTCTGCTGGGGTGGTAGTCCCGGCTGCTGGAGTGGGGGAATTCCCTGCTGCTGCTGGGACGGCAATCCAGGTTGCGTGTAAGTTGGCGGAGCCGACACAGGGGGAAGCTGGGGCTGTCCCGGTCGCGAACTTGGGACTCCAAAAGGGCCAGGAGCAGGCTGGGATGTGGGAATCTGACCGGGAAGTGGAGGCTGCCCAGGCAGTGGCTGAGAAGAACCTGCTCCAGGCACTGGAGGCTGACCAGGAGCGGCTCCAGGCGTCGCAGCTTTCGGAGGCGGCATATGCGGCAGTCCCGCCAAACTGGCGCTGTTCAAGCTCATCTGATTAATCCCACTGGCCACGCTCTGTGGTGTGCTGCTGGGCGGAAGTGCTCCGTTGACATAACCACCCGTAGTCGCCGTCGGTGGAACACCATATGCAGCATTGTTGTTGTTGGTCGGAGGTGGTGCCGCATTTGCGTTGAACTGATTGAAACCGGTTGGTGGTGGTCCAGCGGAAGTATTGGGAGCTCCTTGGGGGAGCGGTGGCTTAAGGGGATTGACCCCACCTCCACCGCCGCCCACATTCAAACCGCTCATCGACGTGGCCAGCTAAAAGGGAGATTAGTTTTTAGTAATTGTACTAGGTTTTTCTTATCTACAAACTCGGCTTTCAATCTTCTATTTTGAAATCACGGATGGCCTCTTTTTCTGATTGAAGTACTCAATGCTTATCATTTTTTTTTTGTCTTAGGTTAAAAATGGTTTAAAAAGAGATATTTGTTAAAAAGGCGTACAAAATAGTTGCTTTTGTAGAAACCAAACTGGAATATGTTAAACTATTTTTAAAAGGTCAAGTAGACAGTAATTGTTAAATTCCTAAGAATGGGTTTGTCATGTAGAGTTAAACCAAATATAATAAGTGAATAATAATTAAGAGACAAATCATAATACTGCGGATTTTGAAAATTCATTTAAAAGCGTTAGCACTAAGAAGTAGTGTATCAAGTAAAATTGTTTATAGATCCAAGTATTATCATCTGATCCTAGTCTAAATCCTTGGCCCGACATGTAAGATAACTTTACTCCAGCTCTTCCTATTGCAATACGGCTGGGCATGTCGACTACACCATATATTTACTCATCATATAATTAGATTGAGTCTCAGGGTGTATTATCATTTAATCCTCGTCCTAAATCATGGATACTTCCTTCCTGGGGATAGGGAAATATGTGGATGATTCACCTGCTGTTGGTAGTTGCCGTTGAGGTAAGCCTGTGGTGCCGCCGATGTTGGTGGAGGTGCTCCGTATTGTGGTTGTTGTTGCTGCTGCGGCGGAGGCAGTTGTTGTTGTGGTGGTTGCTGCTGCTGCTGTTGTTGTTGCTGCTGCGGTGGCCAGCCTCCGGAAATCGGCGGAGGAGCCCCAAACTGGGGCTGCTGCTGTTGGAACTGCGTCGGCGGTGGTCCGTACATATTCGGATTCATTTCTTGGCCGTATTAATCACCCTTTTAAATAAAGTTAGGGCTAAAAGCGAAATCACCAAACAACTTTCACGCGAAACGGAGAGAAAACACGGGTTGGCTCAAAGTTCGCCACTGCAATTTGGCAATTTTGGGGGCTGCACGGCCGGACTCCTGACCACTAACTCCTCACTTTTGGCCACTCGGTGTTGGCCTCAACTCTCGACGGCCGCGGCGCACGAGTCGCTTGTTGAAAAACAAAAATAATTTCGAGCTAAACGAACTTCCACGTCAGTTCCCCAATTCGATTTTTTTGCTCTTTTTGCTGCCACGTAAACAGCGCTGTTTTCCAACACTGTCGGCGAGCGGGCACGGTTGCTATCGGCCAATCGATACATATATAAGTTTGTTGACAGCGCTACTGTTAGCTAACAGTAACGAGGGATGTATGCCCAGAAGGTGAGCATAATAATAAAGTGACGTCACAAAAATAAATAAATATAACTAATTATATACAAGTTTAAAAATAATTAACTATTATAAAACTATATTGCAATCGAAACAAATACAAGTGTGTTAAAAATTACTTGTGCAAAATCGTATTAATTTTATTAAAAAGTTATAAAAAGTCTTAAAATTTAACAACGGTTTAAAGGGTGTTATTTTAAAATTGGGAAACTAATTCAATAAAAATTAAATAATAAAATGTAGGTCTAAAAACTACTTTAAAATAGCTAAAAAGGCGATTTGTTTATTTTTATGGATTTTGTTTGTATAGGTGGGAATGTTGAAATTTAAATTATTTCAAATACTTCACAGATTTTATTTATCTTTAAATTTTAAGAAATAATTGTGATTTAATAAATGTACATTGTACTTTTAAAAATTCATAGGCTTACTAAATTTCAAACACATTTTGTAGACGCTTTTAATACTTTATATCCGAAGGTTGGGTCCCAAGTGGCTCAGAAATCTCCTTAATTCGACCTGGCCAGGCTCCGGTGTCAACGCTAAAAACGTTCTTGTCAAACTGGACAACGGGCCGCAGGACTTTGTTAAATTGCAGTCCTGTAAAACGTTCTATTTCGTCAATCCTGGCCCGATGATCGCTTAACTTCCCACCCACTAAACGGCTGTTTTCGATAATATAGCTCTCCATAAAAGAATACAATCCGGGAATATGGCTTTCCACGATCAGGACCTTAAAATAATGCGAAGGAACTGGCATCGGAATCCAATCGAGCACCTCATACTTCATGGACCATTTGCCATTCTCATGGCAGGAAGGGGTGTAAATCGGTCCAGTGTATGTGTACACTGAGCCAAATTCCTTAGCCTTGGTGGACACATATTTTTCCAGGTCATTCCATATTCTCCGCTTGAAAGCTTTACAGATCTTCGTCGCACCGCAACTCAACACATAGACGTCGTTATAGCGCAGATTTAAGGCAGTGTAACCGCCATCATCTGACACTATCTTCTGGTAATCCCCTCGGAAATGCTCACAGATCCATCTGGGGGCATTGGTGCACATATCCTGTGAAACAATATAGTCCTTGTGAACATACAAGTTCTCCATGCTAGGTAGTCCGTATTTAATCAAGTCCAGCAGGTCAGTCGTAGTTGCTGAATCCGTTTTAAGCATCAGAGCAGCGCTTACAAAATCAAAAATTGGTGATACAATGAACTCTCTAAATTTGTCAGCCAAAGAAGTGGAACCGTTCCATAGTCTGGTTTCATGATCCGTGCTAAAGGTAGAGAGCTTTTGAAGACATAAGAAATAAAGTTATATTATTATATTATTACCACATACCATGGGATACAACTTGTGCCGATGATGGTAAACGTAAGGATCCCTTCGAATCTGCTGGAAAAGTTGCCTTATGGACGCCTCTTGCTGAACAAAGACTCCGCAAAAAAATCCGGTTATTCCTGCCAAGGCACATAAGGCCCACTGATGGGCTCGCGATTCGTCCATGGACATAGTTCGTGCTTACAATAATTTGGACTACTCTTATATACATCAATTATAGTTCTTTACACATTTCTGAGTTTGTAAGAAGGAGCCTACTTCCCCAACTTACTCCAGTTAAAAATAAATTATGTCTATAATTCTTCGTACTTTAAACTGCTTTAAAATAACCAAAACTTTGTTTTATTTCTTACTATAAAAGTAAACGTTTTTATTTAATAAATTGTCTATTACTTTATTCACTACTGATATAAATAATTTCTTTATTTTACAATTTCTAAATGAAATGTTAGTTCACCCGAATTCCCGAAAAACCTGCGACTCACTGGGATAATTGCTTCCAAAAATAGCGCTTCTCCTCAAACCATCAAAAAACTTAAGGCCGGCGTAATGCTCAATCTCCCGGATGTCGCAAAGGAAAGATCGAAGTGGCAAATCATCAGGTATAGGAGCATTAGGTAGAACATAGCCCTCCATATAGGGTTTTCCAAGCTGAAGTTTTGATTCCACCATAATGACCTTAAAAAAGTGCGTTGGAACGGCAACCAAATTCAGTCCAATCATTTCATACTCCACTCCCAATTTACCACCCAATCTTTGCTTGGGTTTGTATAGAGGTCCTGTGCAGACGTAAACGGAACCAAATCGGTGGACCAGATTACGAACATATCTCTCCAAATGGTTCCAGGCTCCCCTATTGAAGCCCTGACCAATTTGTGGTGCTATATTTGTTAGGAAGAAGGTGTCCTGGCAGTGATTCTGTTGCAAATGATGATTTCCTGCGGCTGCCAAGTGCCCTCGATCAAATCCCGATCTCCGATAGTCGGTCAATTCAGATCGAAAGTTGGAGGGCACACTCATATCTGCTTGATAGGGATTCTGACCACGTCTGCCTCGAACGAAGTGAATGCTGTCCACTTGGAGATGCTCGCAAACCCAGTGCGCCACTCGATTTCGGCGGTCGTAGGAGAGCACGAAGTCACTATACAGCCTTAAATCATCCAGACCTGGAAATCCATATTTCATAATTTGTCTCATCCTGTGATCGGCTTTATCCTGTGTCCCAAAGAAACCAAACTAGTAAGGAAAAATATATTTAATATAATTAAATTTTTATAAGTTTACATAATATCTAACAATCATGGAAATATACCTACCTAAATCATGTAAAACTTGAATATTTTGCGCTTACCACTTCATAAATTTTGGGGCTGACATAGTAGGCATAGGGATCCGTTCTTATTAATTTCTGTAAGCGTCTTCTTGCATCCTTGTGCTGAAAATACATGCCGCCCACGAAAGAAGCACATAGTGCAGTCACTCCCAGGACTAAACCCAATCCCAGGAACTGCCATTTTCTGAGCATGGAAACTAACCCACCTGTAAGCCTAAACCTAATGTTTTGAATCTGTTTTCAAGGCTACTATTTTTTGTTGTTAATAGTACCCAAATTTTCCAAACGTAATTTTATTCACAATTCTAATAAGAAATATCGTTAATTAAATATATAACATCAAAATGACATTTTAATTATATATTCTATTAAACTCTCTCTCTCTCTCTTAATTTAAGTTATTTATTTTGTATTACTTAGTCGAATCACGTGATGACATGGCACTATGATTGACTAATGAACTGGTTACTGGATTATTCACAGAATTTGTTACAGGAGCAAGGACTGGATTGCTTGTTGAGCTGGTTACTTGTGTGTTGATAAAGTTGCGGTCGAGTCCCTCGAAAAATTGTAGACCTGTAGCATTTTCTATCTCCCGGATATCGCTGAGTAGCGTCTTCAGATCGACATTGTTGTTCAACGGAGTGTTGGGCATCACATAGGCCTCCGCATACGGCGTGGCATCCATCTCGAACTTAGGGTCGATGACCAGGACCTTGAAGAAATGCGTCGGCACAGCCACCATAGTTCTTTCCTCCGTTTGGAACTCCAGAAACCAACTATTTGACTTCATCTCATGGGGTAAATAAATGGATCCGGTGTAAACATAAACGGTTCCATGTCTTTGACTCATCTCAGAGACATACTGAAGCAATCGATTCCAAACTGTGAGATTAAACCCTCTTTTTATAAAAGGTTTTATGTTGGATAGGAAAAATACTCTGGATGCCTCTGACTGGCTGAAAGCTCCAACTGGAGTCATAGAAGAAGGATCGCCATAGATTACTCGATTCGATATATCCACCCTCTCACACATCCACTGAACGGCCGAGTTTCGTCGATCGAATGAGGTCACAAAGTCAAAGGTCTCATTCAGACTAATATCATTTGTGCTGGGAAAGCCATACTTCATGATACCGCCCAACTTGTGACAGTCGTCGGGTTCAACATTGAACTCCTTACTGTCGGCTCTTACAGTGAAGATTCCCAGCTGAAAAAGGATTTTATTATTATTAAAATAATAATTTAAATAAGATCTTTCGCAAAGTAAAATTAGGTGGAAGTAGTATCTGTACAATCAAATATATAATATTTAAAAAATATCATAGAGATTGGTTCTAACTGTTTATGTTTTACGAATAAAGGTCCCATTATTAACTATATTGTGAACTAATAAGGATATTTTTAAATCAGTTTCTTTTACAAATACCATTTTTTTAGAATCTCGAAGGAGAATATAATGTTTAGTTAAGCCCACTTAAATTGAATTCCCAGGTAGACACAAGTACATATTTCCTTACCAATCCGTACAGCTTCCTTCGGATAAAGTAGGCATGTGGGTTGCGCTGCTCCAATCGTCGGATATTCCGCATCACATCAATGTGCTGATAGTAGGCGCCCAAAGCGAAAAAGGAGCCGGCGGTGGCCAAGATACCAAGAATGCCCTTCAATGGCATTTCCATCCATCAACGTCTTAACTACGATAATTTAGAGTTTGAAAGTTAAGAGAGTTTTCGAAAAACTTAAAATATGTGTTGTGTGTAGCAAATAAAAACCTATGAGTTATATATAAAAACTGACTTTGTTGTGCCTTAAATTTGAAAATTGTCCCCAGGAACCTGACTTCTCCTGCAGTTAATCTTAAAGTTTTCGTGTCCAAGTTCAAACTTGACTGCACTTGCCAACTGCATTAAGTCAATAGAAAAAGTTGCAGTCATCGTCGCAGAGTCGAAAACTAAAAAGTCCTTAGGACAAAACATTCCCCATTCCAGTGCTCTGCCCCCTTGAACCACATAATAAGCGTTTTTGGGGATATGCCTGACTAAACCAAAAGCGGCGTCAAGATTTATTCTCAAAATCTCGTCGTACTTTGTTATGCTTAAAAATGTTAGTTGTGGATTTACAGTTTTTCTGTTTTTGGCCAGAAAACTTTTCCCCTCCTGAAACTTTGAGCGGTAAAGTGATGGCAAAGTGGAAAGGAATTAAAGCGGTGGATGAGAGGGGTTTGTGTATTCAGGAGCTGGAATGTTATTGTTAAAACTATTTTATATTTTTAATCTTTTAGGCCATTGCAAATGAAAACTTCGTATCTTAAGAATGGATTGCATTTTTAGCCTAAGTATTTAACCTAACGACGAAAGGTCGGTCAAAAAAAAACAACAATAAACTTCAATCTAGGGGGAATAATTTGTAAGCAAACTCAGTTTTAAATACTAATGTTGTTTGGTTAAGTACACTGCGACAAAGTTTGCAAGTGTCCTGTGTCAATTAACTGAATCCTGATTTCCACCCAAGCCACAATATTTCGTCCCCACATTCGTTTTCCAAATGAGTTAGCCGCGAGGCAATGCCAATTAATTTCCAACATTTAATTGGTAGTTGGCCAATTTATTGGCATCGGGGGGAGAAGGGGGCGTGTTCATCCTGCACCTCAGTTTGCATATTGATTGATGCCTGGAGGTCCTTATGCCAATTTAAGGTGCATGCCTCGAGGTTCGTTTTCCTCCAGCGGATTTTGTAATCAACAAGGCTCGTCCAAATTTGCATAATTAAAACGTTTTCATGTGGCTCAGGTGAAAAGCAAGGAACTGCCACGCCCCTCGCCCCAATTTTCCAGTTTCTTTGCCAAGCCAAAAATTGACTCGTTAAGTGACTGTAAATTTGTCGCCTCATTTGAGTTTGGATTAATGAATTATGCACTCGGGGCTGCTTAATTAAGCGGGTTTCGAATGTGATTAGGGCCAGGCAATTAGCCGATAGGAATGAGCATTTTCGGGATCTGCGATAATCATTTGCTGACTGACAGCCATAAAATGTTGCCCCAGGATTTGAAAAACCAAACTCATTACGGCGCCTTTTTTTGGGTTTGTACAGCAGGTCAACTTAATGGGGTAATTAACTTATCTGGGTTAAAAAGGGTGAAGCGGTTAAAATTTTATGTGTTTTTTACTCGGCGAATAACTGGAACATGTGCCGGGGGATGTCAATTGACGCCAGGAGGGTTATTTAGTTCACTTGTTCAAAATAATATAGTCTCTGGCAGATTTTTATGTTTTACGTTTTTTAATAAAGTTATTTCAAGCCCTCGATCTATTAAATATAACACTTAAACATTTTTATTGAACATTGTTAAACCAATATTCTTATTACAAAATGTTATCCATAAGTATTAAGTTCACAATTTTAGTAATGAACCATAGTTAATATAAGTTTAAAGTTAAACCGATTATTTGGTCGGAATCACAGTAAAACATTTTGTATATCTTGTTATTAGTCATTTCGTTCTTAGTCGATGATCGTCATTGGGAATTAACACTTTTGCTTCTGGCGCTGCTCCCCAATAATTATCGCGATCTTGAGGAAAAGAGAATGGGAAGAGAGCAGAGATGGGCTCGCCGCGATCTCCATTCCGAACCCGTACCGCTCGGCGATTGTCTGCCGGAGCGTTTTGTCAGTTGGGCACGCACCATTGAGCAGGTCAGATCAGCTGCTCGTCCGCCGGAAAGCACATCTATAACGGTAGAGATCGGAGCGGTCACCGCACGCACTAACCACTCGATCGGTCAGAAGCCCCAAGGGAGATCTCTTGGAATCACCATGATCTCGCAGCTGGGTCGGATCAGCATTATTAGTGCGCTGCTTTTGGCATTGGTGACCTTCGTAATTGGTGAGAAATTAACAAATAAATAACTATAATCTCTTTAAAAAAGGTGTTTTTATAAAATGAATAGGTTGCTAATTTATGGTCGAATAATTTTTACTTGTGAAAAAAATAATATGAATTTCAAAGAGTAGAGACCTTGTCTCAAACTAATAATTTTAAAAATAAGGTAGATTGCTAAATAAGCAATATTACCTATCTGTATTTAATTTTCTGATGTTTGCTTACACTTTAATTTACTATAATAACAAATTAATATCTCCAGCCAGCAGTTCCGAAAAAACTGAACTCGATCCCAATGCCAGCTGCAATTATACTCTAATCAAGAAAAAGACTTTTGGAGTGGATCCCTCATTTTGGAAGAAGTTTTTCACGCATTGGGTACCATTTACCAGTTCGAGAGGTAAAATGCAATTCATACTTTTCAAGCGGGACTTTGCGGATTGCGGAAAAGAATTGTTCATTGGCGATGTGGAAAATCTCAAGAACTCCGGCTTCGATGCACGTCACCAAACGAGGTAAGGGGATTTCCTAAGTAATTAAAGCCCCAGATTGCAAATCGAATGGGGAACTTTTTTTTAGGGAAGTGATTGTGCAACAGTCAATTTGTTTACATTTAATTGCTTGAAAGCTGTGCAAACTTGTTGACACCACACAATTGGCAGTGTATTCAGTATTCCCATTCAATTGATGCTACGTCAAAGCCCAACCAAAATAAAAAAGAGAGGAAAGCACCAATCTAATGAATAGAACCAAAACAAATATTTGCTAAATTCTCTCACCAAATAATTTAATTTTTATATTTCGCGGCTAACACGAAAACTGGTTTGCCTGCTTTATATTTATCATTTTTCGTTGAGCTTTCGTTTACGTTATCGCGTTTTGAGTCATTGCCACTTGACTGACACTTGAATAATTGGCAATTAAAAATTAATGTATATTAAAAAAACTGATAATAAGTAAAATGGTATAATAAGTACGACATGAGCACACAGATTGTTTATAGGAAGAATGATAAGATAACAGGTGAAATTGATGATTTGCTAAGATAATTTACATTTATATTTTCAATTGAAGTCATAATGTTTGTGGTATTTTTGTTGGAAAATATATAAAACTAACCATTTTTAAAGTTAAAATACAAAATTCACAATAAAAAAATTGTAGTAAAAATAAGTGTAATTATCTTACTCGGTTTTTATAAAGTCCTTTATTGTTTTTCTCTGATTTCTAGAATTGTCATTCACGGCTGGATGAGTCAAAGCAAGGGTTCCCATATAAGAAAGGTTAAGAATGCTTATCTGAGCCTTACGGACCCGGGATTAAATGGAGAGCCTGCACGCTATGAGGACTTCAATGTTATTGTATGCGACTGGAGCAAAATTTCTACGAATTTAAATTATTACGAGGTGGCCAAGACGGTGGAGGATATGGGTGCTCTGCTGGCGGATCTGGTACGGTTTTTGAATCAGGAGGCGAATATGCATTTCGATGATGTCTACGTAATTGGTCACTCGTTGGGAGCCCAAATCGCTGGTAGTGCTGGCAAGCAGATACTGCCATATCGGTTTAACACCATATATGCCTTGGATCCGGCTGGTCCTCAGTTCCGAGATAAGAGCGATGAGTACCGAATCGATGCTAGTGATGCCTCTTATGTGGAATCCATTCAAACCAGCGTTAGTTTTGGTTTCGAGAAGCCTGTGGGACATGCAACCTTTTATCCGAACTATGGAAAAAATCAGAAAAAGTGCTATGTATATGGCTGTTCGCATAAGAGATCGCATGATTATTTTATTGAGACCTTGACGAGTCCGGCGGGATTTTGGGGACCCCGCTGTGAGCGTTATGACAATGGCACCTGGATTCTCCTGCTGAGCGATGGAGAATTCCGGATGGGTGGGGAGCCCTCGGTTCCGAAGAATGGAACCTTCTATGTGAAAACCTACTCAAAGCCACCCTATGCGATGGGTCACAGGTGGCAAACGGAACCTCCTCCAAGAGAGGACGAAGATGAGAATTCCACAGAAGAGTAGGATGTGATCTAAATAATTTAAATATTGTAAAACTGTAAATAAAATAAAATATAAAATTTATGAAACAAATCTATTATATTCGCCTTTAATTTTATTTTAAGATATGTGTTAATATTTTCCATTTAAAGTTTGTTTCGCTATTTTAGTTGATCTGTCTTATATTTTTGTAAACTATTTTTTACCCTTGTACTTGTAGAATTATAAAAAATTTGTCAATAGAAATATATATTTTAAAACAATGATAAATAGGTAATATTTTCTGGGAATTTTTAAGCTAATTCTGCCACCGTTTCTTCTCAGTAGCTTAGGCAGACTTTCTTATCTTTAGTTGCCTGCAAAAACGTGAAGCAATTTAATTCTATGGCAAAACCATTAACAAAGAAATAGCAAAAAGTGGTTGTGTTAATCTGCTGGGAAATTCCAATTTGTAATGTAAAAGTTGAAATGTGTATATAAGCCCAACGAGCGAAAGGCTTAACCATTCTTTCGCCAATTTTAAAACGAAAATGTTCGGAACTCAAAGTGTTTGTTTTTACCTGCTGGTGTTCCTAGTCTTGGCTGCTGCAAGGCCCAAAATGAGCTCGGGAGCTTCAAAGGATACTAACCAGGATTATAAATATTGGCATGATAGTTATTTAATTAAGCCGGAAAAAACAACTACTACTACAACTGCGGCTCCATCATCCCCTAAAGAAACCAGCGAAGAAACCAGCACACAATCTAATTTAGAAGATATTGTAAAACTCTCCAGTGAAAAGTCTTCTGAGGTCACCACTGAAACTACATCAACCTTTCAAACAACTAGTGAAAAAGCCAGCACAACATCAAGTACAGAAATACCAAACTTCTCCAGTAAACAGACTACTGAGGACACCACTAAAACCTCTGAGATTACTGATGTAACGACCGAAAAATCCACATCTAAAGAGCCAAACGAAGAATCGACTACCACTTTGGAGGTCACCCAAGAAGTTTCTTCATCCTCAAAAGAGCCCAGCACAACATCAAGTACCGAAACCCCTGAAAACTCTAGCGAACAGACTGCTGAGGTCACCACCGAGAATTCCACCAGTACAACAAGTGAAGGTTCGGAATCAAGCGAAGAGTCTGATGAAGATTTTTACATTTACGACTACTATTTTGATAATTATTATTCAAGCAATGAATACGCAGACTATTATTATGACGATTACTTATTCTAGACGAAATAGCATTTTATTTTTTGTCAAAACGGAATTAAATCAAATATGGAATATAACTGAATTTAAAATAAGTAAAAATGAAGTGGTGTTTTTTATATAGTCTTGCCTTTTTCACCCTATTGCTCACTATAAGAGCATTGCCTATACCTAAATCTCAGATGGAAATGGCATTGGCCACCGAACCTGACATGGACTATCCTGATATTGATTTTTGGGTGATTTAAGTGGTACGCCTAGTTTTCTCCACTACAATTCCTTATTAAACCGTTCAGTTTCAGAACATTCTCTCCCGCTGTTTTTCGCCGCTACTCTTCATCCTGGTTGGCTGCATATTTGCAAAAAAAAATTTTAATTAAAACAAACAATATGTTACCTAAATTGTTGTTGCTGCTTCTGGGACCCGGACTTCTGTACAAAATTGCAGTTTTTGGGGCCAGAGGCCGCGGCGAAGCGAGTTGTTGTTAATGCATTTACTCGGCTTAATTAGTTGAGATTTTACATTATTCATACGCCACGTGTGACCAGCGGCCACCCACTTTCCGCCCACCCAGTGTGCTGATGCCCGCCGTCTCCTTCTTTTCCTGACAGCATCATAATTTTCACTTAATTAAAGTTGTCGTTGTTGTGGGTGCTGAGTTTGAGGTTAGCCCGGGAGAAGTTAAAGAGTTGTCGAGGTGCATTCTGGAATAAAGTTCGGTGGAAGTGGTAAACACATGGCTAAAGGCTCTGAAGTTTTGGCTTTTAATTTAATCCATTCTAGAGTTTGGGAATGCTTGGATGGTAGTTTGAAGTGCAGTTGTGTTTAAAGTGAAAATTGAAAATAAGTTTGATCGCAAGATCTTGTTATTAAACTAGCAATTGGGTCCAAAAAGACTACGGTAATTCTAGAAACAAAAAATTGCATTTAAAACTACTATATTTTATAATCCGATGAACTAAGTAACTTCAAAGGGATTTGTGTAAATAAAAGTTATGCTAGTCAACTTCAAAAGTTAACAAATATAACTCCATAAATCGTTTAATACAAAAATACATGTGCATTAAATTTCTCTCAAATTTTCACAAAGTCAAAAACATTTCCGGGCAAATTCACAAAGTTGACAAGCCAAGACAATTAAAGTTTGATATAATCCATTGATTGGCTTAATAAATATCCCAACGCTCTTATCGTAATTGTTGTCTTAAATTGACAGATTGACGGCCAGACCGACTGGCAGCCACAAGAATAATCCTTTAAGGTTACGGACTGAAAAGGCGGTTCCTTTGAATCTCAGGTGGAAAATGGTTTCACTTAAATTTTATGCAAAATCATTTATCCTTTTCCTTTTTCCCGAAATAGTTGCCAGCCTTCGATTTAACCCAGAATGGTTTCTTTCGATTGATGATTGTGTGCGAATCCCCGAGGGCACAATATTTGCCCTGCCCCACTGAATTTGATTATTTAAATTTCCACATTCGTTTTCATGGCGCATAAATTATTTATGAGCCGTGTGTGTGGACGCTGGCATTTCCATTATGGCATTCTAATTAAGGCAGCCCACAGAATGTGTCCCAAGTTCGTAGTAAGTAAGACCCGAAGTAACTGATGACCAAAGGACTTTTCAGACCGAGTGAGATGGGAATTAGGCCCTTAAAAATTCACAGGAAAATTCAAAAGCCAAGAATTTCGACGAACCCTTTTGCGCTGACAGCCTGAAGACCAATTTGTCGCCCAGAAATGGACCGTGTGAAAGCCTGGAAGTGCCATAACTTTGCTGATGTGTTGGGTGTTGAGATTGTCGCCCGGGAAACCTCAGAAAAGCCAAAAGAAAGAAAGGAAAAATTAAAATGAAATCAGGTTTCGTTTTGCGGGTGGCAAAAGGTTACAAAAGACAGCACAGATATTCTGGCAAATGAGTCCGATACGAGGGCGATGACAATGACTTACATTGCTGGCATAAGGAGTAGCAAAAGGACCTGCAGGACACCCACTCCTCACACTCGTTAAAGTTCATGTGCACACGCACTTAGGTCAGCAGATATCGGGCAGGAAGTCGGAAGAAGCAGCTCCGCCACTTTACTCACATCTGTATGTGCCCCGTATCTCTCTGGATCTGGATCTCCACGTCTCCGATGCTATTTGTGCAATTTTATAGCGTTTTTATGGCACACAAGTTTTGTGCTTTGTGCCGTCTGTCGGTCTATCCTGCGTCCTGCGTCCGGTTCCCTCTTTAAAATATTTAAATTTGATGTGTGTGAGCGGGTGGAGGTGGAGTGGCTGGAAAATTCGGTTCCGTTGTGTGCTCAACTGTGTAATAGAGGCGGCCGTCTTCAAGTAATGGCAGTAGGCATAGGGAAAGTGAGAAAATGGTTGGGGAAAGTCTCATTCAGGGCCTCGAGCTGTAATTTCGAAAAACACATATTTTGATCACCGATTCTGTGAAAGGATTTCATTAATTCAGATAAATATTTTATTTGAAAGATTTAGAACAATGTTACTGCAAAAGCTTAAAAATTTTATATTTCATATGACTTGCTTTTATATCCCTTCATTATTTGTAACCTATATACTCATTTCTCTAGTACTCTGGTTCAGGAATAAACTTAAAGTATTTATGGGTTTTATTTGAAAGCTTAAAATATATATTGAAATTTCACGTCAAATAAAAATTTGGTAATTCGTATAGAACAAATCGAATTATTGAATCTTCAAATAAATCCAGCTTTAGGTATAATAATAAGTTTTTAATACAGACCAGTTGTCGTTTTATAAATGTGAGCTCTGACAATATTAAGACCTTCCAACCCTGGACTGTATGAATTTCCCCCTACATATACTAAGTATATATTCCCCTAGCAATTCACATATCCGTATCTATGTCAGTTCACTTGAGTGCTGTTGTTGTTGTTGCGGCTCCACTTTTCGGGCCTTTTTCCAAGTTTGCGGTGTGATTTTATGTGCAAACTTAAATTATACAATTTGGGGGCCATGAATACATTTTTCTCCGACGTCATCGTCATCGTCTTGTGCTTTTCTAGTGATGTTGCTTGTGGGATTGCCGCTGCTCGTTGCTGGCGAAAGGGACAATGAGTTGCTAAATGCTTTGAATATTCTTCTGGCCATTGCCTGGCACTGCATGCATAATATACGATATGTGGTCATGTCCAAAAGAAAGGATGCGAAGACTTGAGACTTCGGAAGGGGAGGAGAAAATGTGTTGACAGGTCGAGTGTGTCGTGCGGTTTCTTTACCAAAAACATCTTGGCCAGAAATGGTTCTCAATCTCAGTTCACTGGCAACCGACAGATTTTGGCTTTGGTTTCGCTTGCAAAATGCTACATTGCGCAGAAACCATTTGACATCTGCTATGTTATTTATTAATTTTGTAGGCAGCACTTGTTATGTATAAGCAAAAACACATTGTCGAAAATCACCAATAAATTTAATTAAATATTTACCCTTGCTACTATAAATAAAATTTAAAAATTCTTTAAAACGACTTTATTTTGATTTTTATGTTACATTTATTTGTGTTACATTTAGGTTCGTTTATACTAATATAAGTTAAAGGATTTTACTCACACAAGAATAAACAAAGATATGAGATGCTTTTTGTTATAAAAGTTCGATTAAAGTTAAAAAAAACATATTTGTGTCTTAAAATGTATACCAATTTAGCCGTTTTGTATGCTGTTTACAGTAAACGCATCTCGTTTAAATTAACCAGCTTTCTTTATGGAGTGCACTCTGTATTAAAAGACAAGTAAATGATTGGGGTTTTTGTGTGTGCTGCTTTAGTCGCTCTTAATGCCAGTTAAGCACACAACAAAGTACGCACTTTGTTAACATTTAAAAGCCAGCAATAAAGGCAACGGCACATGCTGTCCTTTGCGCCCCGCCCCCCTTCACCCACCGCCCATAAAATGCAGCTGAGAATCCCGTATTTTTTGTTGTTGTTTGGACTTAACCCTTTTTTCGCTGGGTTGTATGTGTGCGTGTGTTTAATGTCTGGTGGTCAAAAAAGTTAACGCACACGTTCGCAAATATGCTGTCGTAAGCTAATAGCGCATGTATGCAAACTTTTTTTTAGCACTGTGCGGGGATTATGTGAAAGTTGTAAGTAAACAGGGTGGAGAAAAAAGGAGTAACGTGAGTCGGGATTAATTCAATTATACGTCTGGTCATTTTTTTTATCGACGTTCATGCGGGGCTTTAAAAAAGATTTGTAGATCAAAATTTCATATAAATGAAAGAATGCGAATATAAACAAAGATCACGATTCGAAAAAAATATATATAAGATATTTAAATAATTTAAACGCCCTGATCCTAAAAAATTTGTAAGTGTAAAAACAAATTCTATTCGGTTAATTGTTATATTCCTACAAATTCAATATTTTCTAATATTAGGTGATATTGTTGTTTATTTATGTCTTGGTCTAGAAAATATTGTGAATTCACCTGCATAAACGCAGTCATAAGAAAGGTAAGCCAAACAGTGTGGGTATATTCTCTTATTGCAACATGTCCTGGTCTCAGCTGGTTGGCTTTTGTTTCCCTTATTTTGCATTTGAACAAATTAAAAGCGATGGCCGCCACCGTCATCTGGGATCCGCGCACTCTTCTATTACAACATAACCACAACTTTTATGAAAACTATTTGCAAAACTCAAAACAAAGCGCAGCGCAAAAGAAATTGTATTAAAAACAAATACGATAGAAGGTGTGGGTATGGTGAAAGGTGGGTGAAGGAAACTGCCCGCCAGTTATACAAGATGTTTATAAAAGGCCCGACCTGGCACGTTCCATGTCCAAGAGTGCAAACAAATATAAAAACAGGAAGGGAAACAGGAACTTGAAACAACACGCCTTCCGACATGGCTTTCTTGATGGGAGAAAGCAAAGGAAAATGGCTCTGAAGCCGGGAACAGTACAGAGAGAAAAATATTTCTTGCTGTATTACTTATTATTTCATTAAGGACTATTTTGTGCCAATATTTCCCAATCATTTAACCTAACAAAAATAATATAAACAATTTGTACTTTTAAACTTTTTCATTAAAAACCGGGAAATAAATGTATGGATGTAATTTGTTTTTATCTCAGTCACAAAAACTTAGAACACTCTAGATATTTCTCATCAATTGCTTGGATAATTTATGTTACACCTCTACATCTTTTCATTTTATCTAAGAAAATAATTTAACTTATATTTCATTGTCATTTTACAATATGAAAGCCACGAGTAATTTTCCTAGTGTTATAATAACAGTGGTTGCAGCAAACAAATCGCAAATTGAAAAAAGCAGATAAGTAGCATGAGCTGCACTGCCTGCTACTTTCTTTTTTGCACTCTCCCGAGCAAAGGGAATGGCAAATAAAAATCAGGGACCCCGTTCGTGCTCCTGTCATGGCAATTGCTCTCCGTTCCCCAGGTCCTTGCCCATCGCCTGGTTACATTGTTAACCCTGCAAGTTATGCATTCTTAATTTAATCGCTGGAATTGACTCTCCAGCAGCAACTTCCACTGGCTTAGCGGCTGGCAATTTTCCCCGGGCTCTGTTTTCCATTTTCTCGGCGATGGGAAGTTTGCAGCAGAGATTAGGCATATATCATGCGATTATATAGCACAGTTTGCATTGCCCAATGACTCGGAAATCGCTTTTTCTTGCCCCAAAACTCAACGAGGAGATTAAGTTGCAGACAATTCCTGAGCCAAAGGATGAAAAGGAGTGCTTGCAAAGAGTTTCAAACGTCGCGAATAAAGTTTTTGCCACCAGATGGTGATTATATTGAAATCATGAAATATTGTTGAAAATTTAAGAGATTGTTGCTTATTTATTCTTTCATTTAAATGGTTCAAATTCATGTTATAAGGCTATATTTAACTTTGATAATAGAAGGCAAAATAACATTTTAAAAGGATGACTGTTAAATTTATTAATAATGTTTAAACCATATTAAGTAGTTATTCGTAATAAGATGTTGTTCAAATTGAATTGAATTTTTCCGAATTATTATTAAGTTTTTATGATTGCCTGTAACTCTCAAATGGTTCCTGTACATGGACAAGAAAACGATTTAATAGCCTTCAAGATCCAAGGCTTGAGCTCAGCAACATTAACATAGACTCCAGGGTAATTTGGATCACCGCATCCTTCTCCGAATGAGACAATACCAACCAGTTTGCCTCCGGACACCAGAGGACCGCCAGAATCCAAGGAGCAGGAATCTTTTCCCTGGGCAGCGGCACAGATCAATTCTTTGGTAATGCCTTTCCCATAGGATTCCTGGCAGTTTTCCTGATCAACTATGTCCACCGTGGCCTCAAGTAAGGAGTCAGAAATACTTTCTTTAAATCCGATCCGTCCCCATCCAGAAACCGAGGCAGAAGATCCGTTTTTGGGCGAACTATTTGCCAAAGGAATGGAGCGAACAGAACGCCCCATTTTGAGACTGGATTTCACTCGAATCACGGCTATATCGTTGACCACAATTTTGTTTGGTAATACACGGAAATCTTTGTGCACCACTAAACCGGCTACCTCTAACACTTGACCTCCGTAGTTCCAGATCGAAGAGCCAACTCGGATGGACAGTTCGGAAGTATTATTGGACAAGCAGTGTGCTGCCGTTATAAGGATCTGATCACTGTAGATAACCGCACCGCAATTAAGAGTGCCATTTCTAAGAAGAGCAGCCTGCCACGGAACCGCTGATATGGGCACCAAGTGACCACCCACAATTCGCTCCTGAATCCAACCGGCAGAACCCAGGGTGACGGTGGAGATCAGGAAAATCCACTGGATAAGCATTTTGTACAAACTTGAACTTTTTACTGTCTTTGACTCAGGTGAGCGTCTCTTTTATAGGTAGCAAATTAATCTTTCCCACAACGTAAGACAAGAATGTTAATGAATAAATAGCGAAGGAATCAGATTACTAAAAGAAACAATTACCAGGTAATTGCAAGTAATGTGAATGTTTTGGAACTCTGCAAATAAAAACTAATTTATATTTTAAACGAATTTTGTTGAAAACAGTAAAAGCCAGGAACTTAAAATAAAACTAATTAACTTATTTTGCCTTTTTATCTAGTTTCATCGAGTGAAGATCTATTTATAAGTAAAAGATATCTGTTGAACGAATGAATGGATAGACTTTTTAAAATTCATGTTTTTCTATTATAAAAAAACTGCACAAAATTAATGCTTTAAAATATTCACTTATTTATTTAAGCTTTATTAAAATACCCATGTGCTTGTTAAATTTTTTTAAAGCCTTTCAATAGCATTTAAGATCCAAGGTTTAAGCTCTGCCACATTTGCATAGACTCCGGGGAAAATTGGATGGGCGCAATAGGTTCCAAAGGAGACAATGCCAACAAGTTTTCCACCGGAGACCAGAGGACCGCCGGAGTCTCCTTGACAGGAATCCTTTCCGAAGGCTGCGGCACAAATCATGTTGTTGTTTATATACCCATATGACTGCTGGCATTCCTTCGAATCCACTATGTCCACCGTGACTTCTTGGAGGGAATCCGATCCTATCTGCAGAAAACCGAAATCTCCCCATCCAGAGACGGAGGCGGCAGATCCAACGGCCGGTGAACTATCGGCCAGTGAAATAGGACTAATGGTGGCACCCAAATATAGACTGAATTCGAGTCTAATCACGGCTATATCGTTGTTTAGAATACCGTTTGGAAGCTTATAATAACCTTCATGCTTCCGGATTTTTGATATTCCTACCACCTGACCTCCAAAGTTCCTGATCGAGGATCCAACTCTCACATTGTAAAAAAATTCCCAAATACTCTCAAAACAGTGAGCTGCCGTGATAACGATCTGGTCACTAAAGATAACAGCTCCGCAAACATGGCTGCCAGCAAACTGCAGAGAAGCCTGCCAGGGAACCGCAGAAATGTCCACCTGACTACCTCCGACAATCCGCTCGGGAATAAGTTCGCCAAAAATCGGGGCAAAGCTGGAGATCACAAAAATCCACTGTATGAACATTTCGAACCAATTTAGAGTTATGTTTGACTTTGAGTCAAACGGAGCTCTCTTTTATACATTTACGTGGATAGTTGCCCATTAAAATTATCTATCATAAAAGCAAAAGAATGTTAACTAATGTTTAGGAAGACACATAAAAACAAATTACCAGGAAGTAAACATAAAATACTAACTTTTAAACTTTAAAAAAAGAATTGGTAACTGTTAAATTATTTGTATCATTAAATCTATTTTTTTTAAATAAATGTGAGAATAATATTTTATATTTCCTTATTTAAGCTGCTTTAAATCCAGACGTTTTTGAGTCCATTACGAGTTTAAATAGCATGAAAGAAACATGGTTTGAGCAAAGTCGCACCAGCATTACTATATATAATAATACTTCAAAGAAGGACATGCGAATCAGAACACCATTTGAACACCCTCAGAATCCGCATAGCAGTAGTCTCTTATTGGAAAGGCGATTTAAGAGAGACTGATAATATAGTGTGTCATACAAATATTTAAAAATACCTACAAGAAAAAAAAAGTTAGTAACAAATATATTTTTTTTTAAATATAAAAATATTATTTTTACGAATATAGGGTAACCTTATTTATAACACGACAAGAATTTTAATAACCATTTTACAAAAAAGAACCTAAATAAATTTGCCAATAGATTTTTCTACTAGAAGATAAAAAACAGGAAGTAAACTACCTTGACAAACAAAATGTTGGTGAAATAAATATTTTATTTTTTTGTTTCTTTTTTAAAACTCTCTAATTAAAGTAAAACATTACAGTTTCTTAATAGCAATAGTATTTAAATCGGATTACAAAGTTATGGACTTTGGAAATCCAGTTATGGGCCACATCGGAAACATGGAAATAAATGACATGAAAATGGGTCAAAAATAAAAACGATGCCAAAATTCAGCGAAAAATCGACATAGCTTTATTGTTTTTAGTAATATAGGCATAGAAATCGTAATGTCGATTTGTAATAAGTGCAAGGGTATATAAACATCGGCTTGCCGAAGTTTACTTCTTGTCTTGTTTTATACAAATTTCTTATTCATACTTTCTGTAAACAGCTTACTAGCCACATGTTTATTTAGTCCTTAAAGTCTTTGAATAGCTTTCAAGATCCAGGGCTTAAGCTTAGCCACGTCAGCATAGACTCCTGGATACTTAGGATGAGCACAATCTGTTCCGAAGGATACGATGCCAACGAGTCTGCCGTTGGACACCAAAGGACCTCCGGAATCCCCAGAGCAGGCATCTTTTCCCGGAGCAGCGGCACAGATCATGTCATTGGTGATGTGTCCGTCGTAGGAATCAGAGCACTTTTTTTGATCCACAATATCCACAGATACCTCGAGTAAGGATCTGGACAATTGCTGATGATATCCCACAGCTCCCCATCCGGAAACCGTGGCTGGGGATCCACTGGCGGGGGAACTTTCGGCCAAAGGAATGGAACTCACACTGTCACTTAACCTGAGGCTTGATTGAAGTCTAATCACGGCTATATCGTTGGACAAACTCTGGTCGTAGTCCTGGTGGACCAGAATTTGTGATACCCTTACTACCTGACCACCGAAGCTGGTGTATGCCGAACCCACTCTCACGTGGAAAGCGCCAGGATATGCGTATTGTACACAGTGGGCTGCCGTTATAACGATGTCTTCACTGTATATGGCAGCACCGCACCAATGACTACCATGTTTTAGGATCGAAGCCTGCCAGGGAACCACATCAATCGACACCGAATGGCCTCCCACGATGCGCTCGGGAATCCATTTGGAGGAAATCAGGCTGGCGCTGGAGATCAGGAAAACACACTGCAAGAACATTTTAAACTGCGTTTTTAGTTGGAAGTGGTTTCACCGAAGGTGAGCCACTCTTTTATAGGTATGCTTTGTAAAACCTGGAATTCCGTATTTTTAAACCTATTAACACAAGAATGTTAATGAGTATTCTAAACATTAGACAATAAAAAAATTCTATAAGACAACAAATTTAATGAATGACCAAGCTAAAACTAAGAGTATTATAGAATGTCAAAAATATTTTCCTGAAATTATTTTTAGACTCTTACAATGTTCGGTTGACAATCGTTATTTGGGTAACTTTAACTTAAATTCTTGTAAAACACAAGAATAACAAGCTTATGGAAGATAAGTTTTACTTTACTTCCGCTTATAGTTTCTTAAAATCCATAATAAAAGTGTACTTTTATTAAAGTACAGTAGAATTGGGTTATAACGACTTTCAAGAAACCGACGATATTACGTCGTTATACCCGGAAGACGCACTAACCATATAAGTTTGTATAGGGACCAACCAAGCAATTGAGTTTTCGTCGCAATAAACAAACGGACACTATAAGCGGAGTCGTTATAACCGGATTCTACTGTATTTGAGATTTGAGTTATTATTTAACAGTAGGATATTCATTAATACACAATAATGTTTAAGGGGATGGTATTTATCTTAACCAAGAAGATCTTTATTTTCCGTACTATTAAGACTTTTATTTTAAACAATAAAATCTTAAAATTGTTATATTAAAAACATATATGTGAACCATTATCTAAAGTCCCATTTTAGCTTGTAATGAATAATTTAATTTATATTCTCAATATAGGGTTTATTTAGTGTTCAAAGGTGGGGAAAGGGAACACTTAAAGATATACAACTAATCCCTGTTTAAATAAAAACTTGCTTGAACTTTTTTTGTTTAATCATTTATTTTATTCAATCTTTATTTAATTAGTGTTCAAAGTTATTTCTGGCGACTTCAAAGACTTCGGATAGTCCTTAAGATCCAAGGCTTGAGCTCTGCCACGTTAGCATAGACTCCAGGAAAATATGGATGAGCACAATCATCTCCGAAAGAGACTATTCCTACCAGCGTGCCATTGAACACCAAAGGACCTCCTGAGTCCCCTTGGCAGGAATCTCTTCCCGGAGCAGCGGCACAGATCATGTCCTTGGTTATTTCTATGTAGTATGAATTTCGGCAGGCATTCTGATCCACAATGGTAACAGTGGTCTCTAGTAGAATGTTAGAACCCTTCTTAAAGGTTCCAGTCCGTCCCCATCCAGAAACCGAGACTAATGATCCAGGTCGAGGAGAACTATTGGCAAGTGGAATGGATCTCACACCGGCGCCCATTCGAAGACTGGTCTGAAGTTTGATCACTGCTATGTCATAGGATGCTCCATTGTAACGTCTATGTTTTAGAATTCGCAAAACATTCACCACTTGACCGCCGAAATCTCGATTCGATGAGCCCACTCTTACCGAGAAAATAGCAGTTTCATCGTCACAGTGAGCTGCCGTTATAGCTACTTTCTTGCTGTATATGACCGCGCCGCAATGAGGCATGCCATTTTTAAGGAGGGAGGCCTGCCAGGGAACCGCTTTAATCGACACCGATTGACCTCCCACGATGCGTTCCGGAATCCATTTGGAGGAGGCCAGGGTAGCGCTGCAGATCAGGAAAATCCACTGGACGAACATTTCGAACTGGAGTTTAAGGAATGAGTGACTTAGAGTTATATGATACACTCTTTTATACAAATTTGCTTTGCCAACGGCAAACATATAAATAAACATAAATGTAAAAATAGGAATGGAATGTTAATTAATTTTTTTAATAATTCTTCTTTTCTAGCTATAGTTTTACCAGATTATGGTAGTTTTAAACTTTGTGGTCAAAAATAGGTTTAGAAACTACTTTTTGTCTAAGCAAACAAGCAGTTCCATTTAGTTATCAGACAACCACTTTAAAACGTAAATTGGATTCTTTTTTTTAGAATTTTGGACTAAGCTGACTGAAGAGATAATTTAGTTTGTTAGCTAAGTATTTTTTTTAAACGGCAGAGCAAGCCACAGACTTTAAACATACTCATATTCATTAACATTCCACTTTCTATTTTTAAACGACGGAACGCTACTTGGGAAAGTAAAAGGTGTATAAAAGAGTGGATCATATAACTCTAAGTCACTCATTCCTTAAACTCTAGTTCGAAATGTTCATCCAGTGGATTTTCCTGATCTTCAGCGCTACCCTGGTCACCTCCAAATGGATTCCGGAACGCATCGCGGGAGGTCATTCGGTGTCGATTAAAGCGGTTCCCTGGCAGGCCTCCCTCCTTAAAAATGGCATTTCTAATTGCGGCGCGGTCATATATAGCGAAAGAGTAGTTATAACGGCAGCTCACTGTGACGATGAAACTGCTACTTTCTCGGTAAGAGTGGGCTCAACGAATCCGGATTTCGGCGGACAAGTGGTAAAGGTTTTGCGAATCCTAAAACATGAGGACTATGGTCTTTACTATGAAATATCACATGACATAGCAGTGATCAAACTTCAGACCAGTCTTCGAATGGGCGCCGGTGTGAGATCCATTCCACTGGCCAATAGTTCCCCTCCACCTGGATCATTAGTCTCGGTTTCTGGATGGGGACGGACCGGAAAGGGTAAGGAGTATTCTGATACTTTACTAGAGACCACGGTTTCTATTGTGGATCAGAATGCCTGCCGAGAAGCACACTATGGAGAAATCACCAAGGACATGATCTGTGCCGCTGCTCCGGGAAGAGATTCCTGCAAAGGGGACTCGGGAGGTCCTTTGGTGTTCAATGGCACGCTGGTAGGAATAGTCTCCTATGGAAGAATATGTGCTCATCCAAATTTCCCTGGAGTCTATGCTAACGTGGCAGAGCTCAAGCCTTGGATCTTAAACGCTATTCGAAGGCTTTGAACTTGCCATAAACTATTGTAGTTTGATCACTTCTTTAAATAAAGGTTGCATAATTTACAGACTTGTACTAAAATTATTTAAAAAAACGTTTAATTTAATCGGATGACTTTCATAAATTTTTGGAAAATAATTTCAAATTGAGGTCCTTTTTATTAGATTTTAATTAAGTTTTATTATTAACTGACTTTGCATTGAAAACTAACTAACTTTTGCCTAGAAACGAATTCCAAGGGTAATAGGTGAAGATAATGTTTAAATATTTTTTTTAAAACAGTTAAAAGTTTAAAAGGGTAAAAAAGTGTAATTGGCATTAACTATACCTTTACTTCAAATGCAATGTTCGCCAACAGTAATATTACGTATTTGATATTAGATTGCTCTTTCGGAATGATTTGTTCTTCATTAATAAATGCATTTCCACTGAGTTTGACTTGCCTGTCGGCAACAGAAAATTGCATTAATCATACGCCCCGTTGGGTGCATGGTGTTGTACTCGAAACGCTATCACATATTTCCTCCACTTCTCGGCGCCCGGAGCATCCATCAAATTAATGGAATTTCATATTTGCTTGGCTCTTGCTCGCTTGCCAAAGAAATTTGTTTATCCAGCTAAAATGCTATCGAATTCGAACCCCACTCCCTCCACTTCCATCGCTGCTGATGTAGTTAGTTATTTTGCCCGAAGGCAGTTATTTTTTTTTTAATAGAATTACTTTCCAGACTTTTGAGCAGCATAGCTAAAAATGGCCCGCGGCCATGGAGCTTCAGGCTGCAAACAAAAGCAATTTAAAATGCTGACTCATAACCAATGTGGCCGCAGAAACAAGTTTGTTTGAAAATTTTATTGAATTAAGCCAATTTGGTATGCAAGCGGAGCCAGCTCTCGTCGGGATTAGAATTCTATCTGATACTAGCTTCACAGAGGAAAAATTAAATAACTCAATCATATTTTAAATTTGGGTGCACATAAAATATTTTAAGTTCGTTCTTAGTTTTTATCATTGTATAAATAATATCCACAAATTTTACAACAATTTTATTTGTGTTACTACATTTTTCAGCTTGTCTTTATACAAATAATATTTTCCCAGTGCAGCTTAAATTCCGAGCACGTTTTCACCCACGCAGCTCGATGTTTTAAACGCTTTTCCGGCCAAAACTCGCACTGAATGCAATCAGATAGTCATGCACTTGACGCTGGGTCAAAATGCCCAACGGCCTGTTATCCTTGTCAACAACTATCGCCTTTTGGGGTCGAGGTGAGAATGGGATCTGAGGGACTTGGACAGGGAAATGGGGCGCCAACCGACCCCAGGGGTTAGTTAGGCTAATTTTGCCAGGCGTTCCATCGAAGGCCGCTGTTCAGCTGGAAAGTCAAGTGGCCTGCTCAAAGTGAGCATTGCACTTGCCCAATTAAACCTGACCAGAATCCGGCAAAACCCCTTGACGGGCCTGCAGATGGGGGTTACTGTCATTACTCATAGTTATGGACGTTAATCTGATGCACTTGGAAAAGCTGGGGAATTTAAAAAATTTAATAACTGAACATTGAAAACAAAAGCAATATTTTTTCTTAATTTTATTTCAAGAGTGCCTTTACTTTAAATGTTTGTTTAACACCAACTATCGTAGTATGATGTTAATAAACTTACTTATAGAACAAGAAATAGTCAGAATTTCTCTTTTGGTTTTCCCCTGGATATAAGCATAACCTTTAACCCTGCCACTAATAATCTTTCTACCTGGTATGCAAAATTTCAGTGCAGGCGGCAATTGAATGATAACACAGGCAGCAGCTGCAACGTTAAAACTAAATTGGCCAACGAGCGACCAAAACGACTGCGTGTCTGCTGAGCTGCCGTTTCCATATTCCTCCTCTGGATTTTGCTCTCCATTTTCCTGCTTTTCACGAAAATCCCTCCTGCACGTCTGTGGGAATTTTTGGCAGCAAATTGAAATGAAAATCTCGCCGCGGTTTTCTGGCTTTGTTCGCCAATTGGGCAGCGGACGAAATCTGTTGGCTGGCTGATAAAGAGAATGCATTTGGGCCTTGGGAGAGTTCCAAATATCTCAGATAAACACAGAGAATTAAACAAATTATTATCAGTAATTATATTATGACAATATAGTATTTCGGGTTAACTAGATTTTCTGAGAGCCTAATACTTTTATTTTTATTTTGTTTGTTTCTAGGAATTTTAGAGCTTATGTCTATATTTGTATTTGCAATAGATGCTATATGCAAAATGCTTGCTAGAATTATTCAATTTGAATAACTTAGATATAGCAAAATAAAAACCCTTAATAACTTTAAAAATAATCTGGTCGAAACGGCTAACCAGAACAGCCTCCGACAACCTCTTCTTACCTCTTTCCCGGCAGTCCGCCAATCTGCGATCTATTCATATCGTAAAACACAAATGCAACTGCGACCAAAGCACCGCAAAACTATTGCCAACGATGGCGATGGCGATGGCTTCCTATTCCAGGATATACGCAGCCATTTCCGGTGGCATAGCTGCCAGCTTCCGCTGCACCTTTTTACCCTTTCCCCCGCCCCGCCTCTCCACTTTGATGGGGTGCCCACAGCTGTCGGAAAATCGTCTGCACAGACCCCCGCACCCCACCGCAGCTTATCCCTTTCAATCGTCTGGCAAATGGAAGCTTGACTTTAAGCGATGGAAATTTTAATGCGCCAATGCGCAATTTATGATTATTTCATGCCCATTTTAATTTGCCCATTCAGCAGACTGCTTTAAAGGGCGGGGAGAGAATAGTGTTCCAGCTTACAACTGGCGGAGTGAGATAGCGGAAAGTCCTCATTAATTCCACGCACGTTTTCCCCGAGCGAAGAAAAGTGGGAAGAGGCGAGGTGAGGCGAGATACAACGAGGCCGCTAATAAAACAAAAATGGAAAACATATAAATCAGTGTCCTAGGCACGTGTCGCTGTCGTCGTCGAAGTCATTTTGTTCCCCAGGTGCAAGCCCCTTGGGTCAACCTAAAGGGTCTGCCCCAATCCCTGCCCCTGGAATCTCGGATTCCCCTTCCCTCCCCTTCACATTACCACTTTTGGACTTGTGCGCTGTCACGTTGTAAATCTCACGAGAGCAAACACACACAGAGAAATGGAAAATCCGAGAGGCAGAGAAAACGCGTCAGACGGTGACACAATACGCGTGCTTAGCCGCTTCTACACTGAGAAAAAACAACACAAAAATCGAGTGTTTTAAAAGTAATATTTTACTTATAAACCCCTTTATACGGAGACTAAGTTAGAAGAGTGGAGACGATTACCTTCAAAAATATAAATAAATAAAAATAAAAATAAGGGAAAATAAATGTATATATTAACAATTGGTTATTATTATTAAATGTTGTATATGTAAATATACACAATTTTAACACATTTTTTTTTTAATATATAAATCCCACTTAATAGTTTTGATTAGTATAATTTGATGTGTTGTAATAAGCAGTTTTTTTAAACTTTCTTTTCAGTGTTTTTCTACAGAACACATACATCCTGAAAAGGGAAGGTGTCAACGGAGGGGTTACGCAATATGGAGCTGTTAAGGCTTCGCCCCTAAGGGGATGTCTCGAATCCCAAATGGAGCCGATTCCAGCGATTGCATTATAAATTAAAATACGTCAACGCAGCGAATCAACAGCTGCTATCCCTACATACCAAAAGGACACCCCGAAAACCTTCCAAGCAGTGAGCATACGAGAATTTAAATAAGATTTTAAGTAGAAATGCAACAATCGGTGCAGTAATTGTATATAATGCAGCTCATTTGGATATGATAACCTTGGAAAACCTTTGAATAGTTTCACTAAAAGTAGTTTAAATGGTATTTAAAGCTTAAGGTAGGTTAAGGACAGGCTATTATATGCAAATAGTAATATTAAAAAAAAACAGAAATGTTAAAGGACGATGGGAAATGTAAACAGTTCTATGGCTTGAAATATCTGTGTGGAACAACCTTTGGATTTTTAATTAAATGCTAGTAAACTGAAGCAATGTGCAATGCGAAAATCACAAAATGACAAACAGAAACGAGAAACTCAGAAAGCGAACCAATACAAATAGTGTTTTCCTTTGGTTTCAGCATTTTTGCCTTACCTTCGCAAGGAGGTTCATAGTTCGTAGCTACTGTTATTTGTCCGCTCATGCGAAGTATTTAATTGCATCCCAATGGAGCGCACTTGGGCAAGTGCAACGAGAATCAGTAAACAGCGCAGGAAACTGGAGGAAGGGTACGAGTAAGTGGGTTGAAGTGGGTAATCGAAATTTTGCCGGGTCCTTTTTCTTTTTTTGCCCAGACAAAGTTGGCAATGGGGGAAAAGCTCGAGAAGGCAGGGCTCTTCTTTCGCTCTCGAGGGGAATACAACTATTTGCCAGAGTAAACAAATATTTACATATGTTTGTTTAAATTTTATGCTTCGCCGAGTCTTCCCTTTTTCTTTGACAGGTTTTTTGTGAACTTTATTTTTTGACAAATTAGTTTGGGGGAAGTCAGCTTGTCGAGTGGGGAATTGCACAAAAGAGTCATGTTTTGCTGTCAACAGTAAAATAATCAAATTATCTCTTTGCTAGAAAGATTTCAGAAATCTCAATGCGTTTTTCCTTATTCAATTATAAACTAAATCCGCTTTGATCTGATCTGAAATTTAACGAAAACCCATTAGATTTCACTTATTCACTTAAGACGTTTTGCTCATATCATAATTTTAACTTTTCATCTGCTTTTGCTAAACTTTGAATTTATATTCTTGGGCAAAAGTTTTGTTATTCTGAGCGGAAATTGTGAAATAAATTGAAATGCAAGGCAGACACATAAATTATTTCCCAGTCAACAGCTGAGGCAAATAAATAAAAATAGAAATGCACTTTTTGGTCAGATCCTTAAGCTTGGGACATGTCTCGTTGGCAAGTCCATAAAACTATCAACAAATTTTGGAAGAATTAAAATATTTATGCTCTTTACGTGAGCCACATGTTTATGCATCGGTGGGGGAAATGTCCCTAACTGAATTTTCCATTTTGCTCTATCTCCTATTTTTTTCGGCTATGCAACAGCATGATTTGTTTATTGTTTTAATAAACGTCAGCAATTTTCTTGGGCTTTTAAAGAAACATTTTGGACGGCATACATGTGCGTATGATTAATGTGGCATTGTCAACTCAAAACCCCCTTTTTACTTTATCCAGCCAGTCGAACAAAACTAAATGAAAAACGGCAAAAGCCAAAAGGAAAATGGAAACTTTCAATGCAACCAAATGCAATGCCACAATGATTTATGGCCCAACTTGAAAATGGACGATTGTTTCACTCGTTTCGGGAGTTGGCAACCCATGGAAATTGCGGAAATTGGTGGGATTTTGGGGGCGGCAGGGGCGTGTCCCCTGGTGCTTATGGCCCTCGCCATTTATTTAACGTACGCGAATAGTGAATCGTGCTGCGATTTCTCCGATTGGAAAAATTGAATTATACCCATTTGATGAGCATAATAAAAACTGGCAGGCTGCCTTTGCCAATGAAAGCCTTTCAAATGGGTTAAAGTTCAGTAAAAAATGCAGGGCAATTTTTGGGCAGCCGTCATTCTCTGGTTTACATGTGGAATGAGTTTGGTTTGCTTGTTGCACAATTCATATTTTTCATATTATATTCCCTTTAAAGAAAGGAGCGGTTAATTTACAACTTCTGATTTAATTTTACTTTAGTTTCATTTAATTTATAGCTTATAACTGATTTCAACAATTGTTTTAGATAACTATAGGTTAACTTGATAAATTGACCAAATACTGTTTACTTATTTTGCCTGCATAGTGTCCAGTTTTAGATGTCTAGCTACTTTAACCAATCCCTAACTAGTTCTTAAATCCAATGCCATTTCAATCCTGGCTTCCCTCACATTTACGCACTTTTCACATCAACTTTGGCTGGCGGCGGAAAAATCCCCACCACCGATTGACGCGAGAACTTTTAGCCAACTTTATTGCATCAGAACTGAGAGCCAATAAAAAAACGGGGCCCAGCCATTTAGCCGGAGGCAAGGCGATCTCCATGGCAGTGTAACCCGCTCAATTGAATAGACAAAGAGGGGCACTCAGACGTGCCCCCCCTCAACATCCAATCCCCGACCCCTCCCCTCCCCTCGCAGGAGGTGGCATTTCGAACAGGAGCTCAGAAATCTGCAGCCAGGTGCACGGAACACACCTGTTCTGTGCAACGCCAATTGGATGGAGACAGAATGACAGCAGATTGCAGGGGATCAGAAGGGGAGAATTGAGGTTTATTACACTGGAGAAAATATCTGTGAAATTAACCTTTGTTTCAAGCCTGAATATATTATGTCCCATGAGCTGAAAGGCTTATTAAACTAATTCAATAAGCACAGAAATGACTAAAGTGTTTAAAAATAGTCTGCTAACATTAGCTTAACTATATACAAATAATATGTGTGTAAAATTTAATTAAGTGAACTAAAGAATTAGAAACCATTTTTAATTTTCTTATTATTTAAAAATATTTTCTCTATAAAATTTAATTAAGTGAACTAAAGAATTAGAAACCATTTTTAATTTTCTTATAAAATAAACCTACAAGTAAAGCCAATTAAAGGATAATGAAATAAGCTAATATAATCGGATTTTAATTTATAAATTTAAAATAAGGCAGTTCTTTAGAGTTTTGGAACACAAACTACATTTTTCTCTTTTTTTCTATGTAGTGGTGGCCCAAAATGGGAGGAGGCAGTAGCTCAAAAGAGGATTCCTGGAGGAGTCAGGCGACGGCGGCCACCGTTCGTAATCCACTTTCGCGTCCTGCGCTTCGCTTCGCCTTTCGTTTGAGCCGCAAACATTTTAGCTTTTATGGCCGAAAGGCGCAAAATATGACTGCCAGGCTGACTTTTTTCTCGCACACATGCAAATGCAATTTCCAAAAATTTCTACACCAAAAAGTCGTCCATGGAAATGTGGTTCGCAAAAAACGGACCCAAATTTTGCGTTGTTGTAGTTTTAAGTCGCTCGATAGCAATCCTGGCCAAAAAAAAGGGAAAACGGTGGAAAAATTCGGAAAACTTTTCGCTTTGCCATAAACCGATTTGGTAGCAAATTTTATGTCGTTTAGGTGGAAAATTTCCATTTGACTGGCCTTCGCGGGGATCAGGAATTCAAGGAGCTCTCGACCGGCGAATGAGGTTTGTTTTTTTCGATTTGATCAGTGACTTATTTCTGTAGCTGCAGTTTATAGTTAATTGACATTACCGAGGGTCAAACAGGAACGGCATCAGACTAATTGAATTACAGTTGCAGTTGGAAAGTGGAAAAAAGGAAAAGCACTTCATGCCTTTTGCTACTTTGTTGAAGGATTTAAAGTGCATGTGATACTAAATAGAAGAATATAGTAATTTGATTAAGGAGAGTTATTCTGTGGTAAATAAAGAACTTTTTAAAAGTATTTTATCACACCACAAAAATTATTTAAATAATCTAGCTATCATTTTACTTGGCTTTCAAACATTTAGAATTTGATTTGCAACATATATATTTATCGGTTTTTTATGCATGCAGAGCTTTAAATAGCTTTCACTTAAATCTTACAACAAAATTCACATGATTTGTATGAAAAAATGTTGTCAAATGAAAAAAACGCGCATCATTGACTGCAAATGAGTTATTTATTTGGCTTCAAATTGAAAGAGAATTAATTAAGCCTATTTCTCTTTTCCCTTTTTTTGGCACATTTAAGCCGTATAAAACTGAAATTGTTTTTTGCTACAACTTTTTATGATACTTCCTCTCTGCCAAAACATGACCAAATCGTATCAATGGGAATCGGAATTAAATGCAGGATCCGCATGTGAAATCAAGCGCATCCGGCGACAGATGCCGTGTGGTTGTCATTGCATCGAATCGCGAGATGGAAATGCGAGCCTGTTTGCCCAGATACCAGAACCTGTATTCGTATGTGTGAAGTATAAAATGCCCGCATATGCTGGAAATCCGAGGGAGTCGCTGTATTTATTTTGCGTATGGCGCGCACTGTGTCCCCCACTCGCCGAGCAATGCATAAATAAACGAAACCAAATTTGCGAAATTAATTAAATCGTCAGCAAAGTAACGTGTGCGCTATGCGTTTTACGCTTTGACTGCGGCCAGTTTACAACACCAACAATTCAGCCGCCCAACCACCGATCCACCCAACCACCCAACCACACACTCATCTGATCTCCACCGCAATTGTGAATTGCGCATTGTGCGGATGACGCGACTGTGAATCAAATTTGAGGCAGAAGCCATGGAAATCGTATATTAAAGGCAGGCATAACAATTTTTTTTTCAATTTTCCAGGGGGGCTTTAGTGGAAACTGAAAGAAAATCGTCACAAATATGTAATTTAAATTTATAATACCTTAAACTATACACTTACTTGGTAAGTAAACTATTAATTAATTTACAAAAAATTAAATTGATTGATAATTCTAAACTTCTTTATCGTTTTAGAACTAATTTCGATGTCCAACGATACTATATTAGCTTCGAGTACCAACTAAAGCACTTTTGCAATAAATTCCAATTAATCAATGCGCAGGGATATAATGTAGTGACTGGTACATTAGTATATCAAATGCAATCCTCTGGCCCTTTATCTACCTCTCGGCAAACAGGATAATTTCAGCGGTTCGGCTTGTCCTGCGGCTATGGCCGAATATCCGTACATCGGCATACTGGCTTAATCTCTGCCGGGAGCAGCGACATCCACCGGGCCATTGATTTGCATTTGCACAACTCATTAAGGATTCACACTTGCCCAACTCCCTCCCGCACACACACACTTACGCTTAAATAATTTAATGTTGCGAGTGTTTCGACATCGAAATTTGCACATCGATGGGCAGAGCTGCGGGCGTTTGATAAGCAGGCCTCCATGTCAGCCAACTCACATTATTCAGCTCGACTCAATCGGCAATTAATGCCACTCGGATTGCCTGATTTGCCTATACCTCCGGAAGTGCGTAGCATATGGCTGGATATGGGAAAGAAACGATGGCTCATTAATAACCGGGCCCCTGCGTTCATACATCACTCATACGTCACGTTGGTTAATCCATTCATCAGATCCTGCAGGATGTGCTTGAAGCAGGGGAGTGTTCTCCTCCTCTAACAGTCTGTCAAATCTGTGTCTATGGATGGGCACATTCTGTGGCCCCATCACCCGCAGCCTGTGTTTGCGGTATCAATCACAATGTTAATCCCGATGTCTAGGCCAGATTATTTGGGGCTACGAAAGGGTTTTTAGCCATAAGCAGACACTTCCCCAAAAAGCGCGGATAATGGCTAAAGTGTTGAGTGAAAAATAAGTAAGCTTAGGAAAATTTGAAGTACTTCTTTTATGTTAGTTTTTAATTTTAAATTCAATAAATCAAAAAATCAATTTTAAAAATTAATAAAGGATCTTCTTTTATAGCAGCTATTAACATCTAGTTTCATCTTAATATAGGTTAATGTACCAGTGGTAAAATTTTTTTTTTATAGATAGAACTTAATATAATATATAATTTAACGTTTGATCAAGTTAACCTACCTGAAATGTCATAATATATAAGTAATTTTACTTAACTGGACCTGGGAGCTCCCCGACCCGCAAGAAAAATGGCCAAGAGATCAGTAGCGCCCATACCCAAAACCCACGAGCGCACTCCAGGTCCCAGGGGTCAGGATACCAAGGGCAACAATGATCTGTTCTTAAAAGAGGTCTTCAATACCACCAATAAATACAGGGCAATGCATGGCTGCCCGGCTTTAACCATCAATGCTGAGCTCACTAAATTGGCACAAGAATGGGCTAATGTAAGTTGGGATATATATAATATTATATCCTACCATTATACGAATTATATATATTATTTTTATAACCCCACAGCATCTTCGTGATGAGAACATAATGGCACATCGATCCAATCCCAAGTATGGCGAAAATATTTTCCTCTCAGGTGGAATGGATGTGACCGGGGATTTACCTGTGGAAATGTGGTATCGGGAGATAAATAGCTACGACTTCAGCAAGGCTCAATTTGCACCCACTGCAGGACATTTCACACAGCTCATCTGGAAGTCCTCAAAGGAAATGGGTTCGGGTGTGGCTCGAAAGTGAGTATTTGTGTATATATTATAAACTTTTAATGTATTTCTTGTCCACAGAGCGGACAGAACTTGGGTGGTTTGCAATTACAATCCACCCGGCAATGTTGTGGGTTTGTTCAAAGATAATGTGCCTCCTAAAAAGTAATTTTTAATTTTAACTATCCAAATTGCAAGAGTAATAAAAACGCAAAACGGGTCCTGTATCTTAAGTTGACTTATTATTTTCTAAAGTATTTTGTTTTTTGGATATTTATTTACTTAATTTATATACAAGCTGACAAAATATTTAACTTAAATTTGTACACTCTTTAGGTCTTTATGTCCTGGGACGGAGGCAGCTCCATATTCGATTCAATTAGGAGTTTTCTTGGTAAGACATTCTTCTGAAAATGGCCATTTATATTTCCAGGTGGGTTATAATTGCACACAATGCAAATACGAGTATCACTAGAGAAGAAATTAATAGATTTCCGAGGTGTGTTAGGATAAATAGAAAACTAAACCCACTTGGAAGCCACACCAACTCCCAGGAACTCTGTTTCCCACCAAACTATTTGAGTAAAATGTCCAGTATACAGATCGAAACCTGGCTTCAAATAATCGTAATTGTACTTCTCCTGGTACCAGAGTTTTATTATTTGCTCCACATTGAAAAGTGATCTACGGACACACATTATGTTCTCGCCATAAATAGGATGAGGTCGAGTTTCCAGGAGGTTCTGTTCAGCCAAGTGCTGCAACAGAACATAAATTAAATTAATCTCAGTGAGAGAGATTAAAAAACCGAAGAATAAAACCTAGAATTATTCGAATTCCAATCGGTTTATTGTACCTACATCTGCCCATTCTTGTGCATAGATAGATAATTGATAATCCATTTTCAGGGGACCTGCGCCATGGAGTTTTCGGTATTTATTGTGTTCTATTAGTACAGATAGTCTGATACCCTTTATGACCTTTTTTGAGGTTTTGCACAGGGAAGCACATCCTTGATAATCATACCAATGCCGCAGTGATTTACTAAGTTTTTTATTTGGCTTTAAAGTACCATTTGTTGGCAGTGACCTTGTAGAGTTTTCGGACAATGACCTCTTGATACTGCAGGCCAGGTAATTTCGGGAATTATGGTAAACCTTGATGGGTTTTTCGCAAAAGGGAGTAAGACAACTACGGCACTTGACCAAATCCCGACTCCTCAGATCGCAGGCAATGAACTTGGCATCATTATGCTGCAGTAATTGGAGCGGTTGATTTTTAGGACTTTTCTCTGACGAAAGAGCGTCTTTATTTTCATTCTCCATTTAATTTTATTTTTTTATAATAATTTATTAGGAAATTTTGGGGGAAATCGTTGACAAAATGAAGTAAAATGAAACGGGATGTCTGTTGCCACATTTTCCTAGAGTTTCTGCTTATCCTAGCGCTTTTTATCCGCGTTTTTTCTTTTTTGGCGACAATTTCATGTCACACATCATTAATTTTAAATTCCTGCCATAAATATCCGCGTGGGCGTGGATGAGCAGCGGGTGGCAACGGGTCACAAAGGTGTCAAGGTGAAATTATGGCAGCAGCAAGCTCTTTCTCCCTGCGACCTCTGACCCCTCCTCCTGTTGGACTGCTTTTTGATTGACTGTTTGTCACTAGGGCATGGAAATTAAAATGGAATTTTTTACCCGCCAAGTTTTGGCACCATTGTGCGTTGGGAATGAAGATTGTGATGAATTGATGATGATAAAAATATATTTGATTCAATTTCTATTCCTATATTCATGGCTTCCAGCTTAGTGCGTTAGCAATAAAATTAAATTGTGTTTTTTTATGACTGAAACGCTTAGCAGTTCATCATGATGAATGATATATAATTATTTGTTTTATTGCAATTTATTTGTGTAATTAAAAAAGAAAAAAGTTTAGAGCTGTATAAATTAATTTAAGATAGTACAATGGCAAAAAAAAACGAATGATTTAAGATCTATGGAGATTAAAATAATATATTATAGCGTTAACATTTTAATTATTCCATTTTAGCTTAATAGCGTATAATTATCAACGAATCTGAAACCTTTATTCTAACTTTACCTCTAAAAATCAGTGCGAAATCAGAATAATTTCGGACTGTCCTGCACACTGATTCGCAGAATGTTCCATTTGTGTGGATGTTGCAGAAGGAGCTATAACTTTGAGCCACCGTTACCGTAACCATAAACCCAATAAACCACTTTTGGGGGCGACAACCGAACGGAGGGCGACTTTTGCTGTTGCTTCAGTTTCACACCGTCAACAAGTGACAAGCACACCATCGCAAATATCCAAAAACACACGCATACGTGTTACTGGCATCACGCCAAAGTTGGTTGCTATCATGCCGCAGAAATTTCAACTGGCTGCAACAAAAGCGAGTCAACAAAAATGGAGAAACGCTCAAAACAACAGCATAAAAAACATGGTAAAATTTAAATACACACACATACACACGAAAGCCCAGCAAGAAAAAGAAGAAGTGATCATAAGGGTGACCCCAAAAAGTAGACTATGATTTTTTATGGCGAATTTTCGGTTTTTTTTAATTTCAGTAAGCAAATGACAGGAAAGAGGGTGGGGAATGGGGACCCTGTGGTGTCCTGATGTACGTGATGTTTTCATATATTGCAGTACTGAAAATGTGCCATCCCAGGGGTGCCTGTAAAACAGGACCTTTTTGGATATTCCCTGGGTCAAGACAAAAAAAAATTATCTTAAAGGTGAGTCCACACGTTTGCCTGGAATTTAATTATGTGAAACACATTTTGAAAATACATATTTAATTGTTAATTTTTTGCTTGCAACACGGGCAGGGAAAAGTTGCTCAGGGAAAAGTTTCAAAAAGTCTTTTAAAGCTTCAAATAAATCTGATACTTAAAGGCAAAGTTACATTACATAAAAATTTAAATAAGAATTTGAAACAAAAAACAGAACTCTAAACTGGAAGGAGTTATTTACTTGAAATTAAATTTCTTTTAAGGGAGTGAAGCCCCACTTCATTCGCATTAAGTTGCACACAGTTTCCGCAGCCAGAATCTTTGTGCCATTTTACACCTTGTCGAATTGTTAAATGCATTCAACTGTCAAAAAGCCGCAGACAAAAGTTCAATTTAATTACCACAAAAGAAAATGGGGCAACAAAAGGTGAGGAATTTCCATGGGTTGCCCAAACTTCAGATCGCAAAGTCTGGCAATGAATCCTACCGACTGCCAATGAGTTTTACAATGTAATTAAGCAGGAGGCAACGCTTTTTCGGTTTTTTTTTTCTAGGGATAAATGAGGTCAGGGGGCGTGGCAGGAGGCGGAGGCAGAGGCTGTGGGAAATCCGAAAGTCGAAGGGCAAAGGAAGTTCCTCTCCTTTTTCCGCTCGCTCTCAGTGAAAGCTTTCTTCGTTATGCATTGTAATTTGCGTGTAATTTTCAAGGCGTTGGGAAAAACGTGGAAATGCTTCTGCAACAACAGCGGCAATAATAATTGCAACTGCAACAACACCAACAGCAACACCTGCAACAACAGCAGCTGCTTTAAGGCAAAAGTCTCATTTATTTTAATGTGTCGACGCTGACGACGTGCAAATGTCTGCCAGTTTTCCAGCAGGTTTTTCCCTTCAGTTTTCAGTTCGCCAGCGAATTTTCCATGTTCAAATTGCTCGCAGATGCAACGGCAATTGTTTGTCAGTGTGCATATGTGTGTGTGTCTGAGTGTGTGTGTGTGTGCTTGAGTTTATGTGTGTGGACTTATGCGTGTGTGCGTTGTAATTATTAAGCTGACAATGCACATGCTGCTTCTCCCGCTGATTTGCGTTGCAGGGTTGCATTACCGACTTAACTCCGATTCAGGTATCAATATTAAAAAAAGATTTTTCCATTTTGACGAATATAGTGAAGAGTAAATTAGTAAATGAAATTTAAATCATTTTTTATGGAGTTTAGAAAATTTAAATAACTGATTTCTGAAGCTTTTTTATCTGGTTAGATGTATATATGGTTTCGTAATATTATGGAATACCACATATTAGTTTTATGATTTTGGACTGCTTTTTTTTTTAAAAACGATAATAACTCAGATTTTCATCATCAGAGCCTCACTAAATCCCCTTCTGATCGCGACTTCATCCCTGGCTTTATTTGCCCTGTCATCCTCTGTGGGTCAAACCCCCTCATGGCTCATGGCTGACAACGGTCATAACAATGCCAATTTTAATGGTCATTACAAAAAGGCTCATAACCATAAAAATGCAGAGCCAGCCAGCGACAGCAGAAACAAAAATGAGAGCAACTGCGAGAGCAACGGGAGGAATCATGAGCATTTATTGGGCTTATGGGTCGTATTATTAATATTCATCTGAGCCGCACTCCCCAGATCATAGAATGAAATGCAAATGAATTAAATTTCAATTCCGCAATACAAGTAGCCTCAAAAAACAAGTTGTGCGCACGTGTATTCATTTTATGGGTAAACGAAAACAATTTGCAAATATAAATATTTGTGTAGTTATTTTTGTTGTGAGCCAATTTTGTCAAGGATTTCTTTTTAGTTAGCAGTTGTTTTTGGAAATATTTCAGGGGAAGGGCTTAATTGGTGATTACATTAATCTGTTAAAAAATAGTTTAGTTAGCAACATATCCTGGTTAAAAAATCTGCAGAAGCTGAACAGTGGTTTTGATCCACCCTTGAAGTATGGGAATATTTGCATATACACTAGGCGAATTGAGGAAACCACAGGCGTTGTTATAGGAAACGAGTCCCACTAGTTTTTTGTTGGAAACCAAAGGACCGCCGACGAATCCTTCACAGGCGAGGGGTATGACTCCCGAGGGGGCAGCACACAACTCGTCCACATTTATTACTCTCCCCTTCAAAATTTTTTCTGCCGTGCACTTCAATTGGTCCTGGATCTGAAGATTTACCTTCAATAATATTTCCGATGAGGGTACCAACGCATTGGGTTGTGCCCAACCAGAAACCGTGGCATTTGTTCCAGGGCTTGGCAGCTCTTGGGACAGTTCGATGGCTTGAACCTCGCTGCCCAATTCCAATGGTGAGCTCAGCTTGAGAATGGCCACATCACTGGGCCGCAATCCCAGAAGTTGCATCCTAACTTTTTTTACCTTCACCAATTGGCCACCTGAGCTCTTCAGGGAAGAACCAACTCGTACTGATATGATATCCACGTCGGCTTGTCTCACACACTGAGCTATAGTCAAGATTATATTCGGACTGTATATGGCTCCTCCACAATGATGTTTGTCATTTATTTGAACAGAAGCCTGCCAGGGAACTTGTCCTATGCTTATGGATAGTTCATCCGACAGGGATTCCGATAGAATTTGGGAAGTTGACAAAAGTAGGAGAAAGCTTATCAGCAGCATTCTTGAGACAAATTTGTTAATCCAACGGGTATAGATCACAGAGTGCTAAAAAATGAAAACTGAAACTCATTTTATACCGACAACTTTAGTGAATATGGAGCGTGCCTTTTTGAGTTTTTACTTGGAGAGTTTTGGGTGGTTGAAAAGCGGTTATTTAATAGCCTTATTATCTACTTAACTTTCATTTTTGTTTTATTTTGTCACGCTTTGGTATGGATTATGCAGCTTAAGCTTTTGTTTGCTGACCGCTTTTATTGAACAATACAATTGGAAAAATGATTTTAAAAATATGTTTATTCGCAGTCAGGTTTGAACAGTATTTGTGAAAGACATGTACAGGGTGTTCACTCTAAAAAGGCTTTTAATTTCCCTCTTAGCTATATTTAATATAATATATAATTAATATAAAATTGTCAAATTTGACTCTTAAGTTTTCCTGTTTGTTCTAAAAGTTTAGAAAACCGAATTTATTAGACGTTGCCCATTTTATATAAGTGCAAATTGCCAACCATTAATTTACAAGTGAACTGCTTTTCTTTTGCAATTTGTTGGAAACCTCTTATGGTAATTACGATTATCACGCATACGCAGTGGTGGCCATGGAAGATAAATTATTTACAAAAGTGGCAAGCAAAGTTTATCTTCTGGGCGACAGACAACAGTTGCCATTTGGTTGTTGATTTTAATGAAAGAATTATGACCTCGCCTCGGGGCTGAAAAGCCGAACTAAATGGCTTCCTGCGGCTGCAGTTTTTCCCCTTTCCCATTTTCCGCCTTTCACCCTATTTTCCCTATTGGCGGGGGCAGCAAACCTGCTGTGCAAGACGTATAAATATATTTTGCAAATTGTAATTTAAAACATTTTGGAGCCATGCCAAGTAATAATTTGTGCTGCATTTGTGCATCTCGTCCTGGCAACGGATTTCGCATTTTGAATTGTGAAATGGCGGAATTGATGCGCTCGACTGCACTGAGCCCGGGTCCTATTCCTAGCAGGAGCTCAGCTGCGAGAAGCTGCCATTGTTATCGTATCCTTTTCGCCCTCTCCTCCGTTTTCCCAGTGGCGGGGTATCAATGCGACTGCTCGAGAATAGCATTTTATTGCTTCAAACAACATGGAAAGTCAAGTGTTGCAGTGGCACGAAATTATTCTCTCCCTTTTTTTTCTATTTTTTTCCGCATTCGCTCTGGGTATTTTTCTCGTTTGGCGAAATCGGTTCGGCGCAATAAATTCTATTAAAATGCAATTTGAAGGCTCTGTGATTTTAAATAATGCCAAGAGCAGCCATCGGGTTAATGCAGAATGGCGGCATCCTTGGCGCTCCGTTATCCTGGCAATCGTTTTCTTTATTTTTTATTTTTTGGCCCTTCCAACTGGAGATTTATGCAATCTCTTGCTGTTGTTTGCTCGCCGGATATTCGAAGTATTTATGGTCTACCCGGAGGGTCCTTAGCTAATTGGGTTGTCAATTTAATCGCAAGTTGTTGGGGGCTTATCTTCATAGATTTCCCTTACTTTCGGCCGCACAATGTGCAAATACTCCCACACAAGGCGCCAAACGGAGTAACCGCAGCCAAAAGAAATTGCAATTTAATTAATGCCGAGTGAGAGAGGAGATTAAAATAGTTGAAATGTCATTAGCACCGAATCTCGAAGGGATAACGGGGTCGGGCTCCGGGCCAAAAGGCATCAAGGGGTCAACGTGTTGACCACACAATTGTGTGGTCACGTGATGACTTTTTGGCGCTGCTCTTGTGGTCATAATTTCATCCACACAAAAAAAGGCAGAGGAGTTAAGGCAAAGAAACCACAGGCAATTCGCCGGGGATTGTCTCCGGCTTTTTCGGCTTCTGCTCTTTAAGTTGCGCCGGAGTTCGTGTTAAAAATTCATTAGGAGTTTTAATTAAAATTCTCTCTGTGGCTCACAAAGGCGCGTTGAACACTTAACGTTCTGACAGCTCACAAAAGAAGTTGGCGGCAGAAACTTAAAAAATAAAAATGAGCACAAAACATTTTTTTTTTGGCCAGGCATTGCGCTGGCTGCCTCATAACTTTGCTCCATCCAAAAAGTGTATAAAAACTGTGGAAAATGAGGGAAAACCATCGTGGGGACAGCCTCCATATGTGACCGTCGGCACTTTATATGCATGACTACGTGTCCTTTTAATATCCTGTAAACAGGCGCCGCTTCAAAACTTCCGCTTGGCAAATAAATAAAATATAATAAACAAAGCAAATACATTTTTTTCATTTTTGATATCGGTTTATTAAAATGTGTTGGTTTTTCTTCACTTACTATGTATACATTAGTTTTAATTACTTAAATAATTACTTATGATATATCCCATGCTAGATTTGTATGTGTGTATATTTATTAAAAAAAAAACCGATTAATCTTGTCATTTTACTATTATCCGTCAGATAAACTCAATTTGCATAATGTAAGCTTTCAATTTTTGTAATTACAGTAGAGATTATTTTTCTTTTATGAAGGCTGAAGCCCTCGTCGTCATCGTTCAATGTCGTCAATAATTTGGACCCAACACCAATTAGTTGGCTGTAATAATGTGACATTTTGTGTATTTCGTGTTCATGCACATTTTTAGCTTTGTAATGGAATTCTCCAGTGAATTTGCAATGCCACGCGTCATTTGACACATTATTGTGACATCCTGGCCTCGATTCTAGTTAGCGAACCCATCGACAATGCGATGCTCCTTGTATAATCATAATTAGTTTTGCATAATTTGACCCACTGGTGTTCGGTAGGGAAATTTTGGTCCGGTCCCGGCACGATATTCAATTACAAACATTGCCCAATGTTCTAAACATTTCGAGTGTCTGGCTGAAATTAATTTGTTTGTGTAACTGGGCAAACTAACACTAGTGACTAGTCCTGCTCCCTTGGAGGTGGAGGTGTGCAAACAAATTGCGTACGTGTACTGGCAGCGAGGTCCTTTTGGTCCTTTGGTAATTGTAATGCGAGCAAATAAACGAGCGAGTGCCACACGAATATTCATACAACAATGTCGCACATGTATGCGAACGAAGGACATTGGCACACGCAGACACACACACACACACGGATGCAAATGGAGATGGAGTGAAAGGCAAATGCCGACCGGACAAATGCTTGATGTGGGTGCCTTGTTATTGTCATACCCTCGAACACAGAAATTTTTAATTTCAATTTTTTTCCCTTCACGTTTCCCAGTTCCAGTCTGAAACAAGTTGTGTTACAAATTTGAATTTATGTCCTGCCAACACCTGCAATATCCTGCTGTGGTCAGCTTCATTCAGGTGGGGTCTTCCGTTTCATTTTCATTTTCGTTTTGATCGCATAAAGTTTTGCCAGCACATTAGCTACATATGACACCTTAAAGTGTTTACCTGTTATGGGAACGAAATCCTAGCCGGGGGAATTCCCTGATTGGATCGGGGTGTGGAAGGATAAGCGGAGGTGCAGGACTGGTTGCTAAAATTGAATTCACAAAGTTATGAATAGTTAATAACTGCGGGGAGAAGGAGGAGGTTATGAGAATGTGAAAGGAGAAAGTTAAAAAAGGAAAAAAGGACATTGCAATTGGGTAACGATTTTGGGGAAATCTTTTTGTCATATTTAAGGCGTGACCTGACCTTAAGTAAATCAAATGTTAATAAAATATAAGCTTAAATACTTTACAAGGGTAGGACGTAATCCAAATTGTAAAATGTAATAACTTGCAGACTATCGACAACATTTAAAGGCACCTTAAATTTGCGCTATTGTTTTATTGTTTTAAACATGAAAAGCACCGTTTCGCTTGAAATCAAATTCATTAAATCCAGTGTAAAACAATAGAGATGCTTTTTGCATATCTGCTCGCAGATCGATATCCCTTCCCGACGTCCGAAAGTAAACAGACTTCACCAAACCATGACCCGAATCTATCCAATCCATTGTTCCGAAATCTTGTGAATTATTAATTAACAATAGGAAAGCGCAAAACAATGCCAGTCGAAGCTTACACTTTCCCGCTGTCAAACTCTAACTCGACATGTGTGAAATCGAATACACACTCGTATATATCCCTACACCTGAATGCTGTCAATGCAATCCACATACTCTAGTATATTTTTATTGGAGCCATTTTCGTTAATTACTTCGGACGAAGGATGAGATGAAGGAGGAAACACTTTGTGGCACGTCTGAAATGTGTCTGTTTCCAATTTTAGAAGCCAAAAGATGCAGAGTGGAAAAGAAATGAAGAATTGTATTTTGATTTTTTAAGGAGTGCAAAGAGTTACTTTCTTTAACATATGTATATTTATTTGAAGCTTAGGAAATAAAACTAATAGAAATTCGATTTAAATATAGGGAGTATTGTCCTACTAGAAAATGTTATCTCTTCTGTAGTAAGTATTTATATTTATTTCCAAAAGATTTGTATCTCAGTGCACAAGTCCATGGGCTGCACAAGTTCTGTCAATCGCTGTTGCAGTTGCCAGACCTCGATTTCATTTCATTTCGGTTTCGCTTTTGTTTTCCTTTTCGGCTTCGGTTTGGCATCTCTGACCTATAAATCATCTAATGGCCTGGACAGGTTGGGTTTTGATGCGGTTTTCGGATAGGGTGGAGATTTTCCCGCAGCTCGCGCCCTCTTCCCCGCTCAAGTGTCAATATTTGTGCGAAATGCGGCCGCCGTCTCATCGACACAAACACTCTCCATCATCCACATTCGGTTTCGGTTTTTGTGGGTTTTAGTTTGTTGCTCTGCGAGTTGCAGCAGCAGATTTGTTGTTCATTTTCCAGAACTAGGGAGAGATACATGCTTTTAGTTGTTTAAATTTAAGTTGCAGGGCAGCGCAAAAAAGAGGACCAAAAAAAAAGAGCAGCGAAAACAAAGCAAGAGGTCAAAAGTCACATTGAATATTATAACTATTTTCAGCTGGCAGTCGACTTAATTTCCGTTTTGTATTTTCATTGTCCTATTTCCAAGTTCACAGCTTACATTTGTGAACAGAAGGACATCTGTTTTGCACTTCATTTGTTATGGAATTGAATTTCTTGAGGT